ATCGTTATCCAAGAAAAACAGAATTGAAACTCAACCGTTATTATCAATTTGATTCTGATTTTTTTTCGTTTCCCTGACAGATGAAAGCTTATTTAAAATATATTAGGATTTAACCTCCCACCCACCAACCACCACCCACTGAACAAAATTGAATGACAATCTTAAAATCATCATGATACAATAACAATCAAGGTAAATCAAAGGAGAGAGAGACAAAATATAAACATGAAAACTGAACAAAAATAAGTACATATACAAAGAAATGAGCTTAAACTTGGATTGGAACTTTTTTCGAATTCATATTTTATCTTGTTCTTTTATATTCTTGATTGTTTACTTCTTATTCATCATCATCATCATTCAATTTTGAATATTTATCATTGATACAAAGTTCATGATGATCAGAGTAATATATAAACTACGTGATTCGTATATTAGAATAACTCATATTCCATAATAAAAATGAGTTTCAATTCATTTTCGTTTGTTGATTTTCCATCTTCATCATCATTCTTATCATCTTTCCATCTATTCTTTTGTCAAAAGGATGAGAGAGAGAGAGAAAAGGGTAGAAAAAAAGATAAAGAGAATTCATTTAATTCCAAAATAATATCACTTTCTTACCTGGGAAACAACAACTATCTTTATAATAGATAAACATAAATCACTTCCAGGTAAAATGTTCTCTCTCTCTCTCTCTCTCTCTGATTTAATATCGTATTTTTTTATTCGCTGGGAACTTGAACATTCATCTTCATGATAACATGTTATTTCCCACCTTCCATCACCCACCAGTTTCCTCTTCATCTTCATCCTCCTCCTTCATGTTTATCTTTTGTTTGCATAGAATAAAACAAAATCATATTAATAAATTGTTCAAATTTTCATTCTTTGTCAAAATATTAGAACTTTTCTACTTTCGAATTTGTAAATTTTTTCTTCTTCTCTCTCTTTAACTTTCTCTCTCTGATTCCAATCAAATTCAGATTCAATTTTCATTCTCATTCCACTGTCACCTAATCATGTTTATTTCATCTTCTTCTTTCACCGAAAATCAATTTGAATTTTGAAATTTTTTTTTCTTCTATCAAATTAATCTGATTCATATACTTTTATTCATTACATTTATTGATTTAAAAGATAACATGTTAAATTGTCTGAACAATTAACTTTAATATCTTGATTTGAATCAATGTTGATTATTATTGTTGTTGTTGTTGATTTTGTTTCATTGTTGTTTAATCAATCAAGACATGATTGTGAATGATTGGAGTAATGATTTAGTTGATTAATTTGATTGATTATGATGAGAGTTGATTCTTTGCTTTTAAAAAAATTATTCTTATGTAATAATCAATAGATATCAATAAATAACAGGTAAGAAATAGCAATTGAATAGTTTCAATTTGCTTCAGTCAATCATAAAGGTAACAAATGTACTTAGGCGTAAAAATTTATGTGTAACAATTGATGTTGTTGTTGTTGTTTATTATATGATGAAGATAAGGATGATAATCATGATGCTGATGATGATGAAAACAATATATTTATATATAAATTGTTGATGGTGAAAAGTTTTCAAGAGTTAAGATGAAAAACAATCAACTTATTTTCAAACCAACCAACCATTCAGATGGAGATGATGATAAAGATGAGGATGAAGATGAAGATGAAGATGAAGATGAAGATGAGGATGAGGATGATGATTCAGCCACGGTGGTTCCTCCTTGCCTTTGTTTTGTTTTTGTTGATCAATTGAAAAGTTGATGATGATGATGCATCACAATCAATAGTAAAAATAACAATACAATGAGAAAGTTACATTGGGAAACAAACTGATTATACGGTAAATCGAGTTGATGTTCAGGTCAATTTAAGGTGACCAATGAGGGTGATACCTAATGGAGAGAGAGAGAGAGATGGAGGATGAGGGATGCGGTGCAAGATGAAAAGATGGTGATGATGATTGACCAGCGGTCAAACCACCGTTTTGAATGGACGACATGAGTTTTCATTCATCACTATGATTAAGGTTGGAAAGGCCATTGTTTGGTTATCGCTTTTTTTTTACTCGAAAAATTGTAATCAAATGATAATATCTTTGTGAATTTCAGTTGATCAACAATTTAGTTTTTGATTGTGATTGATTTAGTTTATCATTCATGTCTTTTAAGGCTGTTGCTGATCTTTTGATTAATGGTCACTCACTTTTAATAAGATGACCAATTGTAAATTATATAACTACAAATGTCAATATTGCGAGAAAAAAAAGTAAATCAAAATCAAATTGTATTTTTTTTTCATTCTTGATTGTTGTTAGTATTAAATCAAATTAAAAATGATTACATTGGTTAAACTCTAATACAATTGATTGTTAGTCAAATATTTTATAGTTGATTGTAAATCTTGAAACACTTTCAACTTGTAGTAGTTTATTTTGATTGTTGGTTAACTTATTTCTCATAATATAATCAACTATTTTAAATTGCGATGGTAAATAATCACAATCAACCATAGGAAATGATTAGTATTAACACGCAAAAATCAAATTTGATTGTTATCATTAGTTTAACCTCTTAAATTACCTTTACCTTATCCTCTTAATAACAATCAAGGATAACTAACTAAGCTGATAAGTTAATTGCATTTCCGTTGAGAAAGTTAATTCCCAGTTAATTGTCACTCTTATTTTGTTTTCTTTTTAATTGTAATCAAAATATTAGTTGTTAGTAAAAATATTTTTCAACTATTCTTATACAATTGTAGTTGATTAAAATTTTCCATTTAATTGTTTGTTTATTTTCATTATCAATCATGATTAAAAAAAATTTTACTTCTCTTTTCATAAACAATTAAAATCAATCAACAATTTAATTATTTTCAATCGTTTACTTTTTTTTTGTCCGGAAAACCATTTAATCAATTCTCAAATTGTTCCCACAAGTTAATAATGTGGATCCCATTTTCTCATGGTTTAAGTAGGTGTTGATGGTCAGTAAATTGCTCTGTTAAATTGTTCACCATCATTTAATAATCAACTAATTGTTACAATCATTTTAAAGTCTCGATGGGAAAATTTTTTCCCGAATTTTTTTTCACATTTACAAGACTAAGTCTCCATCTGGTGAACAAGAAACTAACTATAAGTGGTAAGAAATTTTTTCAAATCAGTTAATCAGTTTTTGCAATTTAACTTTAAATTGTTGATTAATTGTGGTAATTAAGTTAATCAAGATTATATGGATGGACTGTTTTTGATCAAGATTTAACTTTTCAACGACTAGATTTTGTGAATGTGATTTATAGTGAAACTTTTAATTGTTTGTTAGATTTGGGAAAAAGTTGTGAATTGTAATTTAAATTGTGATTAAAATGTTTAAACTAATTTTGCTGATTAAAGTAAATTGTTTGGCAATTTGATCTCATTTTTCCGGTTGTTCAATTAACCATAATGAAAAGAGAAAAGAGAAAACAATTAAAATGGTTAACAATTAAGTCTTTGATTACATTAAGATATTAAATGTATCCAATTACAACAGAGACAATTTAAATTTAAACTTTACAATTAGCCTACAATTAACTAAATAAACGTTACCTTTGGATAGATTTTGATTAAGGGTATTGATAAATTGTTAAAGGTTGAGCAATTAAATCAATAGCAATCTGTATCTAGGGATTTTCCCATAATTAAATACCAATAAGTCAACAATTAGCAGCTTTGTAATACAATTAAATGTGATTGTACTTGAATTTAAGTTAATTGTTGAATTAAAATTTAGTTATAAATATAACCTTTAGATGTTAATTAGTTTATCTTTTTTAATCACTTTTTTTTCAATTGGGGACAATCAATAAACTAAATTACTAAATTTTTTCTCATATTTAAATAATAATCAAACTTTATTAAACTGATTTGTTGATTAATCATCAATTTATTAATAGTTAATGTCACTTTTGGCTGTGATTTAAATGATGATTGTTACATGAGGTTGTCAGTTAATTGCTGGTTAATTGTTGATCGAAGGCACAACAATTTATTCATCTAATTGATTCAGGGACAACAGACTCATTAATCAATCAAAGGCAACAATTAACAATATTACCAATGCTCATATAATACAGAAATTAATGATTAATTGTTGCTCATCAAGTTAAATCAAATGTTTCACTAATTGTTAATGATTAAATATTTAATAGAAACAATTGAAATTGATTATTAAATGTTTATATATACATTAATATGTGTGTGTATCCACAATTAATTGTTATTGTTTAAGAGGTCAAGGTGACAGATTGATTAACAATTTACCATTGATTAACTGATTATGATGGTTGATTGACAATTAATGAAAAAAATTATTAAACCACAATTAAGTTTAATCAAACATGGTGGCAATTAAAAGCTAAATTGTTAATAACAGACAATATCAAAGTTAATTAACCAGTCACCCAATTGTTTAGCCTAAATTTAGCTTAGTAGTTTTTACTTTGACAATTAAATTTGATTGTTTGTTAACCTTTGATTAAATTAATTCATCAAACTCTTATAGTTGATTTAGTTGAATTGCTGCTGATTAAATAATCACAATTAATGAACTAGAAAACAAAAAATTTAACAGAGACTAAGTTAATTGGTTAATTAAATTTTCAAATCTACTTTGTGATCATTTGTTAATCAAATTTGCTACAATTAGACAATTATTATTTTCGTCTTTTAATCAATTTTAATTTCTCAACAATTAAAATTAGTTTCAAAGTTTTGAAAAAGTTTTTCCAAACTAATCAACATAAATTACCCACAATTAATTGTTGTGGTTAAAATTATTATCATTAATTATTGATTAAACCCTTATTATTATCATTACCTTTATAATGATTAACTTTCAACGTCAACATTTTTCTTGATTTAATTGCTAACCAGTAATCAGTTAACTGTCATCTGCAACAATTAATGTTTCTTGTGTTTCTAGTTGATTCATTTTAATTGTTATTACCAATTGTATATTTGTCTGTGAAAATTAATCAACAATGATTGAAAATTTTGATAGTGTTAATCAATTGAATTGATTAATCAACTAAAAACTTAATTATGGACAAAAATAATAACAATTATCAATCAATTGATTTAAACAACAACAATAATAATGGTGTTAATTGTGTTACTAAATTAAATCCAATTCATCAGTATGTTTCAACTAAATTGTGGTCGAAAAGTAAACAATCAAAACCTTTACCAGTGACAATTAACAACAACAATCAAAAGCCTAATATGAAACTTGGTGATCAACAACAATTTAATCACAATTATAATCATAATCATTATCAACGATATCGATCTGGATCTTCATCTGATTCAGCAATTACCCTGTAAGTTTAATTGTCTTTAATAATTTAAATGATTTTCCTGTTAATTTGCTTAATTGTTGATTAAAAATTTCCCTCAGTGATTCACCAACCATTGAAGATGAATTTAAACAAGTTCAACAAAACCATCAACAATCAACTGGAACAATTAACGAGTCTAAATTAAATTCATCAGATCTTTCTGATGATTTTAATCAATTGGCTTATCATTTAATCACAATGGCTTTGGATGATGATGTAAGTTAATTGTAAGTGTTGTGACAATTAACTTAATTTGATTTTGTTTCACTTTTTTCATTTGCTCTCAAGACTTTTTTTCATTCAGATAAATTTAATCAAATGTTACCATTGATTAAAGTTCATTGTGATTTTAATTGTAAACAATTTGAAAGTAAATTATCCTTGGCCGGTGTTAATTGTGATTCATTTGGATTCATTAAAGATCAATCAAAATTGTCTAATTGTGATAATAACAACGATGAACAGATTAAAGATCAATTGAAAGAGTTAATTGTTAATATTAACAATGAACGAGCATCTAAATTGTGGACAATTGGTTGTGACAATTTAAAACAATTAATTCGTGACTATGGAATCCCCAATCAATTAAGACCTCAGGTTTGGATGGCTTTCATTAAAGCTAAATTGGGTCAACAATATGATGTAAGTTTTAATTGTTCACAATTAACTTAATTACTTTTGTTATTATTATTTGAAAATTTTATTACAATTTATCAGATTCAATCAGGTTCATTGTCATCGTTAATTTAATTGCTTTGATGATTTTTGATAACCAATAATCACCTTGTATTTAAAGGGTTTGGTTAATTGTTCATCTATATCAACAATCAATTTATATTTATATCACTTTAATTGCAACAATTAACTTGTTTTTATATTTCATTTTGAGTAACAACAGTTATTGAAGCAAAAAAAAACCTGATCAACAATTAATTAATCATTTTGGTGAACAATTAGTTTTCTTCTCAATTAACACAAGATAGATTGATTAAATCTAATTGTAATAAATATCTCATGATGATTAACAACAATTAACTGGTTAATTATTAGATGAACAATTTACTTTTATTTGGAGATTTAAAAAAAAAGTTTCATTTGATTTACAATCAAAAGATGGAGACACAATTAAAGTTTTAATTGTTGACTTGATCATGATCGGTTGACCTAAAGATTGATCACAATTAACAGGAGTACAATTGTCACTTAATCAATGAATTTAAGTTAATTAGTCACCAAATATTATGAGCAATCAATGAATAATTTATGATCAGTAAAGGAAAAAAAAATCGAGAAAAAAAAAGTTTCGTTTTCTTTTGGGTGTTAACCAACTATAGAAACTCAACTAATTAATTAACCATATACGATTTACTTTATGGTCTAGTAATCAATCAGTCAACAATCAAGGAAGTTGATTAATCATATATATAAAGACAGTGAAGACACGAGACACAATTAAGTTAATCATCAAGAGGAAAGAAAAAGGAAAAGGAAATGAAGTGATTACAATGGGAAAACAAACCAACCCAATAAAAAAAAATCGCGAAAACTTTTTCTTATCCAACTATTTAAATCTTAAATTGTTGGATCTTTAATCATGATTAACTGCATGTCATGTTGGGAATCGACAAGTTAATCAGATTTAATTATGTTATCAAACAATTTAAACTGAATCGGAAACCAATACCCTTAACCTTTAATGATAATAAGGTTACACAAAAGGTTTCATTTGGTTTAACCTTTGACTTCCTCTTATTTATTATTATCATTTTATGATTAACCAACAATCAACTGATTGTGATTAAGGTGTAATAATGGTAAATCCTTGTGTAATTTTAATCAACTGATTAAAGCGGAAATACCCAACGACTCGTTATCATTACTATTTCCGATCGGAACGGGCTTAACCTTAAGTGCTAAGGCGTTGGCACAATGGTAATGATTAAGTTTAATTATTGGTTAATTAACTTGGCAAAAGTTCAGAAGGGAAAAAAATTAAGTTAATCAATTGAAAGGTTAATTGTTGATCATCTAATTTCACTATGATATTGATTGATTGATTTACTTTTTCACAATAAGTGATTAACTTTAAGTTGTTTATTTGTTTTCCTTTTGTTTTTAATTGTATTTTTATTTTTCCATAACAAAATCAATTATTATAATCGCAATTAGTAAATTGTTTACTTACTCAGAGATAAATGATGTTGATTATAGTTTGAAAAGTTAAACAATCAAATTTAATTTTGATTAAATGACAGTTTAGTAAATATTATTTTCGCTGGAAAATAAACAAATTATTTTGACGAGAAAATTAATCAATTAGTGAGAAATTTAATTTTCTAAGGTCAATAGTAATTAGCTAATCATCATCAACCTTTACCGGTCAAGACTTAATGGTCAAGACACATTAGAATTGAAAGTAAACTTTTTTCGAGATTGAAAGGTCATTGATATTCGAGGCTTGGACATTGGTCATTCTGATAACTGTACCTAAATTACAACGGGACATGAAGATAATAAGATCTGAAAGGGAAGGTGAGATGATGATGATGATGAAGCAGATGAGAGAGATGAGTAAATAATAATAATATAAAATGGGTGCGGTGTCGTCAATAAGATCGAGGCCATCAGGCCACCGATGAATTAAATGTTACTCTAGAATTGAATTAGGCCAGAAAATGCAAAAGTCCCGTTGTCAAGGTCCACCTTGAGATAGAAAAGGTTTTCATCCTCATCACCTCCTCCTCCTCCTCCAAATTCCACCCCCACCTCATTTTTCCACCTTTTCATCTTCATCTTCTCTCGCCTCTTTATTTTTCTTCGGTCATTCAACTTCGAGTTCTAAAGATGCTTTCACTCCACTAAAGGGAGAGAGAGAGAGAGAGTGTTTCTTTTATATAAATTCTATTCTCTCCCACCTCCTCCGACCTTTTCCCTCTATAACGGGCGATATAAATATACCATAGGAATCCCGTTTTCTAATCGGAATTTTGACTCTCTCTTTCGCTCTCTCCCTCTCTCTCTCTGCCATTGACACGCGACTTTAAACACTCATCATCCCCACCAACGCTATTGTCATCTTCCTCTTCATCCTCTTCATAATTTTCCTCCTCTCTCTCTCTCTCTCATTCTATTTTTTCCACACTCCCCCTTGTCCCGCTATCACCTTTTTTTACATCAACTCTGATTGAAATGATGCTGATGATCATCAGCATCTTCCTAATGAAAGTTAACCAGCCGTCATCTTCATCTTCATCATCATCATCCCCCATCATCTGATCATCTTGTGTCCTTTTGAAACTTGTCTCAATCTTGATCTTGATTGTTGGCGGGCAATCAAAAGTAAATGTTATTATGTAACAAGAGTCCAATGTAAATCAAAGTTTCAATTTAGCCTCAGGGCTTTTGGTTTATCAGTAACATTGGTCATACTTTTTTAATCTTAAATTATTCAAAATAATTTGATAACCGAGCAAAGTTAATTACCCTTAGGTCAGATGTCTCTTAGTAATTAACTGTTACCTTTTAATCAGATAATTAATTGTGATACTTATCATGGTAATTAACATCCAAATGTCTGCATAAAATTTTAATTGTAATGAGAGTTTTGATTAAATTTAATTGTATAATAAAAACCAGGCAGATTTAACTTTTTCAATGTTTGATGATCTAAGTATCAACTAATTGTTTTAATTGTCTCCGTTAATTGCAGATTGATAATCTACTAGGATTAGCTAATGAAGTTTCACCAACACAATCAAATCAAGATTCGATAATTAAACAAATTGATCTTGATGTAACTCGGACAATGCCAAGTAATGTGATGTTTTCAACAACAATCGGGGTAAGTTAACCATCTTGACAATTAAATCAACAATTTACCAATACTCACATGGATTTTAATTGTCGATACAATTCTTGATTACAGTTAGCTAAATTACGACGCATTTTAATTGCTTATTGTATTCACGTTAATCCATTTGTTGGTTACTGTCAAGCAATGAACTTTATTGCTGCTCTATTGTTGTTAATTTTTCAAGGAAATGAAGCTCAATCATTAATGTAAGTGATCAACAATTAACAACAATGATTAACTGAAACTAATAACAATATAATATCAACTTCTATATCTTTGTAACATTTGATATTCAGGGGATTGATTTGTATCATTGATCATTACTTTCCACCAAACTACTTTGATGAACAATTAACAGGTAATCATACTTATGAAAAATGTTTCCTTCCAACAATCAACTGATTATCGTTTTAATTGCCAATTTAGGAGCCCGATCGGATCAACTTTTATTACGAGATTTGTTTCTCGAAAGGTTAAGTTCTGACAAGGATAAAGCTTTTTTCAATGGGTCACTTTTTGTCCAGATAACTAATTCATTGTCACTCAATTGGTTCCTCTCATTGTTTCACAATGCTGTTCCTTGGCAGGTAAGAGTCTTAATCTTAATCTTAATCCTAATCCCTGATCACATCCTTTGTAAGATGATGAGGATGAGGATGATAAGGTCACGAATCATTCGTGCCAATGTTTTACTTGATAATCATCAAAGTTTTCATGGGCAAGGTTCATGTTTGTATTGAGTTTAGACCTGAGTGTTTATTTTCAACAATCTGTTGCTTATTTTGATAATTACAATTAGTTGATTGTTACTGTTGATCATCAGGCATCTTGATAGGTATTTTTGATGTGATTACAATGATAGTTTCTAGAATCAGTTGAGTTAAATTGCTGCAATTAAGTTATTAATTAGTTTTGAAAAGACGGAAAAGTTTTTATAAGAAAACAAAAGTTTATTTTTTAATTGTTGTTGAATTTTTAATGATTACAATTTAATGAAAAGATGATGATGATGATGATGGTGATAGTTAATCATGAAATCATTATAATGACAGTAATTAACCTTGTATAAGGTTTTACATGACGATGATGATGATGGTGATAGAGATGATTAATTAATTGTTTAATTACTATTTAAGTGGACAATTAAAATGACTTAGTAGCCTCGAGGTTAATTAAGGCAAAAGAGGATTTTTTTTCATCATGATTAAGAAATGACAATTTAGTATTTGAATGATTTGACTGATAAATTTAAATAAGCATCTTAATTGTTTTTAGTTGATTATTTACAAATTATTATTGTTGATTGTTGTTGTTTTTTTTTGGTCAATTTAGCAGCATCAATGGTCAGCAATGGTCAATGATGGTTAAATATGATTTTAAATTGAAAGAAAAATGATCACTTGGTTAATTGTTATCGTTGATTAATTGTTGCACACACACTTAGTTGACTTGTAATCAAACTTGCAACCAAATTAGTTAATTGTTAAGTAAAATCAACGATTAAAGTTTTTGGGATTTAATTGTTTTGTTTTCTGTCTGATTTGTTGTTAATTAAAGTCAACCGATTGAATCCTTTTCTTGAGCTCTTTTAAATCACGATAAAGTGAAAGGGTAATTTGGTGTAAATCAGTTAATTGTGTTGTCAGTGAACTTAAATTGTGTTTAGTTTCACTTTCAAAATTTGCTTCTTCCTTAATTAAATCATAAACTAAATGACGAAGGTTTTTCCGGTGGTGATTGTTAATTGTTGATGAATCTGGAGTTGATTCAATGTTATTGTTTTCATTTTCATTGCTCTTGATTGTTGAAGTTGAATGTTGTTGTTGATTTTTGATTAGATTGATTATTTGAAGTTGATTACGAGCTAAAAGTGTGTGATCGGCTCGAAGTGAGTCCACATCACGGGCAAACTCTGCCTCCTTTCGTATGGCCTCTTGTTTGTTGGCATCGATATGATGATTATAGTCACGAGCCATTTCATTCATTTCTCGACGAAGTAAATTAATATTATCAATTAACCATTTCTGTGTAATTAACAGAGTCCGTTCATGAGCTGCTGATATTGATGCTGGTGATGAATGGGAATGAGATGAAGATGATGAGGACACTGATGAAAATGTTGTGGATTCATGAGATGATGATGATGTTGATGATTCAGTTTCTGAGGATTCTGGTGATAAAATTTCAAGAGGAGCACAAGATCCAAGTTGGATTAGTATGAAAATCATCACAATCAAGGATAATTTGCAAGACATCTTGTCTAATTTGATGATTTTCTTAGTTTTTAGCAAATTTTTTAGGGTTTACACAATCAAATTTGATTGTTTGTAGTTGGATTGTTGTTATCACACAAAATATAACATATAATGTGAAAGAAAAAACTTTTAAAAGGTAAACCGATGAAAGTTTTAAAGGTAACTATGGAAGGACAACTTTTGTTGTTGTTGGAGCGGAGAGTGGACTTAAACTGGCCTTGCAGATGGCTTGGGATGCTCCATATAACAGAGGGAAGAGAGAGGGAGAGATGATGATGATGAAGAAGATGAAAGAAGATGGAGAGAGAGGAGGAGACTAAAGTAGAGACTCTGATGTTACTCTGTTACTTTATTTTCCTCTCTCGAGACCTTCATCAAAAATAGAGACTAGAGAGTAAGTGAGAGAGCGACGGTTGATGTTCGGGTTTTGGCCTCGAGTTTCCCCTCTTTTCTATTCTTTCTCTCTCTCTCTCTCTCTCTCTCTCTCTCTCCCAAAGCTTCAGTTTAAAAACGGTTGAAAGGGAGAGAGTGGGAGGGAGGTGGTTGAGGGAAGAATGAAAGGTGATCAAAAAACGAAAATAAAATAAAAGAGAAAAGAAGATGAGTGAATGTATATTTATTCCCTTGGTGGGTCGAGTATGATGGTGGTGGTGGGGAAGATGATGAAAATGATGATGTTTGGAGGCTGTTGTTGTTGTTGCCGTTAAAATGATGATAAAAGTGATGAGGATGGAGATTGGATACCGTTCATTTCATTATTTTCATTATTAAAAAAAATTCGATTCCCAATGTTTATGTTTTGTTATTGGAATCAACACTTTGACCAATCCCACGATGTTCATGGGAAAGTGATTAGTTGATCAATTTAACAATTTGATTGCCTTGTGTATAATTAAAGGAGATAATTTGATTTCTTTCAATATATTGACTTATCCGATTGAACAACGAGTCTCATTTTTTGCTTCTATTGATCTGAAACCTGGAATTGGAAATGTACTGATGGAGGTGGGAGAAGGGATGAGGATGAAGATGAGAAGGATGATATTCTAGACGCGTGCTGTGTCTTCCTTGTGATGATGATGTCAAGATGAAAAAGAAAGGATGAAAAGGATAAACTCTCTCTCTCTCTCTCTCTTACCTTTTGCTCCAAACACGCGTTGGAGTCATTTTCTTTTCATCATTTCCATTACTCTTACTCTTTCATTTTCTCTTTCTTTTCCCCTTTCTTTTTTCCTCTCTAACCATCTCACCTTTTAAAGGTCATATTTACATCTGCTTTTGTCCTTTTACCTTTAGCCCTTTTGTATTGTTACCTCAACACTTTCTGGGTTACCCAAACTTTTACCCAAAATATTATATTGATTTGAACTCCCCCTCATCTTTTTTGTTGATTATTTATCATCACTAATCATCATCATCGTCTATGATGAAACCCCTTTGCCCTTTCACCCGTCGGTCACCGGTCACTCTTTCTTTTTTCCCTGATTGACCCCTTAACTCCTGTTGACCTCGTCCGTTTACCCGGGAAACGAAAGTTCAACTCACATTAGGTAATCTTGCATAAAGAAAAATTAATTTTCCAATAGCAAATTGTTGCTCTTTATCCTTTCATTGTAATTAATTTGAAACAATTTTCGAGGGAAATTGTTAACTTCCGATATCATTATTAGTTACATATTATGTAATCATCTTAATTTGAATACAATTTACTCCCAACAATTTACTAACTATCAACCAATAACAACGGAAATAGACAAACCTTAATTTCATTTCCTAACTTAACCTAACCTTTAACTTTGCCCTCTTCCTTGATTGTTTACCTTAATCATTTAGATACTTTTACATGTAGATAAGTATTTATATGTATTTACCTACTAATCAATGATGATTAAAATGATTAACAATTAACTTGGTAGATGATATAATCAATAATTTTGACCAATATTGTTTACATTGGTAGTTTACATTCAAGTCTATGGGACAGATTGGGCAACAAAAAGTATCAACTGTTAATCAATTTAGATTTTGCTTGCTAATTGTTTACTCAATTTTGATTACAATCAAACTCACCTGGAAAATAATTTCCAACCGATATGATGATACAATTTAATTTGATCCCTCATTTTAATCATAATCACCATTAAACGGTAACAATTAACTTTCAGCGTTTTATTTTTGCTAAATGTTGATAGTTAATGAAATTGATTCAGTTAAGATGAGGGTTTAATTGTTATCAAAATTGATTGAATAATGAGACCACATCCGGGCGGAAGAGTTGACCTTAATTAGGAACATAATTAAATAGGTAATCATTGCCAACGGAAGATGATTATTACAACAATTACTAATAATCTTCCCTTAATTAAACCGGATCAATGTTTTGATTTGTGTGAATGTAAATTTATTCATCGACTGTAATGTTTATGGTTAATTTTAGTTGATAATTAAATGATAAAGATGATGATTTAGCCATATGGGAAGATGATTAAGTTAATGATCAATATTTTCATCAATAATTAATATATTGAATGAAAGACCATCTCTACATCTGATTGACCATTTGATTGATTCTTTAGCTGTTCCTCTATTTAATTGTAGGTCAATTAAACTTTTACCACGTGGCAGATGATAATAGTGATCATTAAGATTATCCCTATCATCATGTTTATTATCATCTTCATCTTCATTTCTGTCTTCTTTGTCTTTGTTTCTGACAAGGTTAACAAAAGTTTTGGAAAAATAATCGAAGCAAAAAAAAAAACGAAAAAAGAAAAGAAAAGAAAAAGAAAGAGAAGCAAAAAGTTGATGATGAAAAGAAAGAAAGAGAAAATTGAAGATGATGAGAAATAGCACCTGGCAAGTGATGAGAGAAAGAGAAGATGAAAGATGAGAGATGAAGACGAACTCGTGGCACGCGCCTTTACCTGAGATCTTAGGAGTTTCTAGTTACTTTTTTTTCCTACTCTTCAGAGTTTCTCAAGCAAAACACGTACAGACTTCACTCATATGACGATGAAGATGATGAGGATGACAAAGAGAAAAAAGAAAAAAAATTTCTAACCTTGTTTTCCATTCTAATACAAAAGAGAAGCAAAAAAAGTAAGAACCTGGTCAACGAGTTTCAACATCTTACCTTGAAAGTGGACATTCACCTGGACAATGGTGACTTAATACACTTTTAAGAGCCTTTTATTAGACTAGACATCATCATCATCATCATCATCATCATCCTCATCTTCATCATCTTTCAATTTAAATGGACACGCGTCTAAAAAAAGGCCTTAAGGTTTTCTTAAAGATGTTACATTGAACATCTTACAATTTAGATTGTTATGATTACCATTAAATTGGATTACAACTAAATAGTAACAATCAGCTGATGAAACTAAATTAAAGAGTAAATTGAAAGTTAACAAACTCAATGGAAAGAAAACATTACAAACAATTAATAGTTTAATTTGGAACTTTTTTTTTCGATTTTGATTTTATTTTTAGATTCGCTTACAAATATTGGACTGTTTTTGGATCGAAGGGGTTAAGGTGCTCTTCCGGTTTAGTATCGCTCTTATTGAACTTGGATGTGAAGGGTTAACCTCCTCTTCATCATCATCGTCATCATCATCACTTTTATCATCTTGTTATCATCTTAATGAACTTGCCTCTGGTGAGATAATTAACTCAATCAAGGAGAAATCTCGTCGTTGTTATGACATTAATCGGTTAAAACGATTGGCCTTCAGGTCAATTAAGATTCCAAAGAGGAAACATTTAGCTGCCCGCAGGTCATTTTATGTTAAACAAATCGTCAATGGTCTGGACGATATAATTATAATTAATTCAATTACCTCATCAACTAATAATCACTCTCATAATCATCAGGAAACTAATAGACAATTAAGAAACCTAAGTTCAAGTACATCACCAGCACCAAGTAGTAGTCCGGATGATGAAGTTAATCATCTTAATCAAAGTAACAATCAAGGTAACATTAAAGGTAGACTTTGGTTAAGACGTAAATCAAGTGGACTATTAAGAGGATTAAGTATTAATCAACACAATCAAAGTAATCAAAGTGAACAACAATCAAACATGCAGTTAACTTTATCATCGGATAATTCAGTGGTCATTTTAATTGAGCAAAATGGAGCTAAAGATGAGTTAATTGTTACAACAGTTAAATGTCCAATAGTTAATCCTTCAAATGATCAACAATTAGCAGACAATTCTAATGATGATTTGGATTCAAGTGAGACCAAAATGATTAAGAAAGTTGTAATTAAATTGTTACGAAAAAATCGTTACCATCTTTATGGGGTTTCCAATGATTCTCGTAAAATTTATTTCTATCAGGAAACAATTAAGGGAACATCAGTTAATTGTTTATACAACAATTGGATTAATATTGTTCCAATTAGTTATCGAGTTAAATCAGCTTTTCATGATTCATCTAAATCAATTAGTCTATTTGTTGGAACCGAGGGAATTGTTACAAAAATTAATCACAATGAGGAGAAAAATCAATCAACTGATGAACAACAACAATTAACTAATGGTGTTAACAGTAAATTGGAAACAATTTCATTGGATCAACAATCACAACAATTACAATTAACTGTTCCCCAGTCATCATCAACTAGACGTTCTCGTGGTAAATGTACAATTCAATCAACTAATTACGATCCAATTAGTGGACAATTAGCAATTTATATGGTTACACCTGAATTGGGTAAATTGTATATAATTGATATTTACACTTTGGACATTTTTAATTGTTTAACAATTGATTGTTACCTTAATCATTTATCATTATCATCTTCATCTTCATCTTCAATACTTTTTGCTTCAACAATTATCCGAGATCCAATGTTAACTCAATTAGAGACAATTAACTTTTATGATATTTTAACAACTCACAGTACAACCGCAACAATTAAACAATCACTTGTACAAAATACCGATTTAATTGTTACAATCAGATCATTTCTTTGGTCACCTCAATCTGTTAATCATCCTTGTAATCACTCTGATCATCATCGTAATCATTTACCTGATCAGTGTTGGTATAAATCATTATCATCGTTTTCATTGTCATCTTCATCATCTTCATTGTCAACTGTTAATTGTAATCAACATAAAGAGAGCGATCATCATTTACTAATTGTATTATTTAAAAATTGTCGACTTCTTTGTGTCCAAATTGATTGTGATCATCGAATTACTCGTAAAAGGAGCTGTACAATTAACGATAATTTTGATTGTTCCAAAGCGATTATTGTAAATGTTGATTCTCAATTGGATACAATTTATGTAACTTTGTTTTCACCTTCGAGTAAATTAAAAACTGTTTCATTGTAATTACTTTTTGTTTTTCTTTCTTCAATAATAACCAATTTGTATTGATTGCTTTTGACTCTTGAACTTGAGTAACTTTTTATTGGCTCGCAATTATATTTACACATTGGTTGTTTAAATGGTTTTTTTGTTGGTTGGTTTTCATTGATCAATATAAAAATGATAATTTGTGTGAGAAGTTAAGTGTTGATTGTGGGTGGTGGTGATCGACGGGATGAAGGGCGGGTTGTTTCAGGAAAAGTGGACTGTTCACTTTCGTTATTTTTCGTTTCATCAGTACCTAAAAGATAGAGAGACAGACAGAGAGAATTGACAAGAGAGAAAGAGGGAGATGGGAAAGAAGAAGGAGTGAAAAATGAATTTTGAAGATGGAACTGAGAAAAGATTAAAAGTTTAAATTGTTGATTGTTTACATTTTTTTTTCTCAAATTTGGGTTTGGGATAGAGAAAAAAAAAGAGAAGAGAAAAGGAAGGAATGATGATGTGTGCTTTGTTTTTTCTTTTTGTTGAAATGTTTGTAGAAAACACAATCAATTCTTCCGTAGCAATTTTCGGAGGGATCGATGTCCTTTTGCAATCAGAGTTCTTAGAAATCGTCTTGCCAGATGATAATTTTTTTTTATAGTTTTGTTGGTTTGTAGTTACATGAGATACCTTTGTTTTCAGCCTAATTAGTAGTCTACCTTCTCAAAGATGGGGTATGAGACAAATGAAATTAAGAAAACGAGATATTAATGAAAAATATGAGTAAAACTGGGAATAGATGAGAAGGGATGAAGTTGAGAAGAAGAGAGATAACTGAGTGCCCATGGTATTAGTCTCAAGAGGGTCATTTGTTGGTTTGCTTTTTGTGAGTCTGATTGGGTTCAATTGTTGTTTGGTTGTAAAGGTGAAGGTGATAATTGAAATGATTAAAGATGACATTGACTCCAAGGTGATATCTTTTTCCGTTATATACATATATATATAATATAATATAATTAATAGATCATATGATTGACGTTTTAAGGGTAATTGCTTTCACTTTGTTGAACAATTTCGTTAACGTCGATTCTTCCGTCTTCCTCGGCCAGATTTTATCTCGGGTGAAGGTGATCTTTTGGATGCTGCTGATGATGAGGCGGATGGCGGTGCTCTATTAGATATGAAGATAAAATCGAAAACAAATATTAAATAAGAGACAAGACAAGGTGAAAATTAACAAGTTCAGTGTTTTGAATAGCCAAATAATTTAATAACTGATTAGTTTGGCAAAAACAAACAATAAATAGATAAATCAGATAAGTTTAAGGAGAGGGAGAGGAAAATCAGTCATAAGAAATCAAGTTGATCTTCCAATTGGAAGCAGATTTGATAATTTAAATCAGAATTTTTCAACAAGATTACTTAGTGAAACAACAATTAAATTTTTTGTTGGATTTAACATTTCAAGACTGATAATCCTCAATCCTGTAAATATATTGTTTGTATTTCACAAGGTTGATCTAAGAGGTAATAATAGAAATGTTTGTTGCAATTCCAACCAAACGATTTCTTTTGCTTTGATCTTCCAAAAACAATTAATTGATACCAGAGCGAAACCTACTTTCTGGCTATCCTGGCGGACTTTCGTGCCGGTGATGAAGACTCATCTCCACTTGCTTTGGAATTACGTTGATTACCAGTTGGTGCGCTTGATCTAGAGGCTCTTGCACTTGCTCGTCCTCTTTTCGATCCTCGAGTTGTTCCAGTATCAGAATCTTCGACTTCATCTAGATAACCTTCACCGGTGATTTCTATTATTTTTGATTCAATATCATCATCTTGAGCGTTAGAATCATCTTCGAGATCCTCTCCATCACCTTCATTATTATCATTCAAATCATCATCTTCTTTTACTTCAACGGTTACAACATTATCAGAATTTCTAGTTGAAGAGCGAGTAGGTCTAGTGGATATTGGTATGATTTCTTGTTTACGACGAGAACTTGTTCTCTTCTCGATAACTTCTTTGTCATTATTGTCATTAGAAACCATGGATCCTAAATCTTGTTTACGAGATCGAGTTGTTTGTGTAGGAACTGGTGCGGCAATAGATGGCTTTGTATCATTGTCAACTGATTCTTGTTCGATAACAACTCCACTTTCCTCGATCATATTGTCTGAAGAAAGTACAACAACTTGATGATCACCAGCATTAGCTGTAGTTCCTTTACCTTGTCGTGGTTTAGCAGGAGCATTAACTGCCTGAGCTTGAGGAGCCTAGAAAATTAATGATAAAAAAAGAGAAACAACAATGAGATGTTAAAGAAGAGACAATCGAAGGGTAAGATTTACATGTCTGAACAGGTTTGACAACAAAAAAATGATGAAAAAGAAACTGAGAGTCAACTCGTTACTTAATAAAAATTGAATCAAGTTGAATAAATAGATAATATAAATAAAACCATCACTATTAAAAGTATGAATGGAATCACAACCAAAGCAATTCTGATAACTTGATCTTGGTTACAAATTCTACTCTTCTTGGGATGTGCTAATTTTTCAAGATCTTTGTGAACAGGAATTTTTTTTCGCTGAATTGCCCACTTATATAATCCCATGATATTAGAATCCAAAACGTGAACAGCATTGTACACGTCACAATAAACTTTACGGATTGATTTAAGTTGATCTTGAGCTTTTCCATATAACTCTTTCAATGTACTGAAACCATGAATTAACTGATCACGTTTAATCAATTCTCTCTGACCATTTGGTTTGACAAAATATAAATTTGATCTTGGTAATCCACAAGTATTTGCAGGTAATAGATTATCTAAAACCATAAAGAAAGTTCTGTAACTTTCTTCTTGATATTTAAGATAAATAATGATATCCAAATTTTTCTTCACTTCTTCAAACTCAATCTTTTTTCTTGTCTTCCATGATGATAAAATATTTGCCATTTGAAGCACTGATTTTTTAGTCTCTCGTAGATGAATCAACTCTTTAGCTGGTGTAGTGCGTTTTTTAGCAAGATGAGATTTGAAATTGGTAATTGGGTATATATTTTTAAGCATTTGCTGAGCTTTATTAACATCTTTCTCCCATCGATCTGATTCTAAATCTACTTTAAAATTAGGAGGAATTGATAAGACACTATCTAATGAGGCAACATTTTTTACCTTCATTGTCTTAAAAGTATCTCTCACTCCTTCAATTAGATTGAAAATAAAAGTAAACAAGTCCACAGGCTGTTGTGTTTACATCGCAGTATATTGATTCATCATTCAGAAATTTCAATAACATGATGTTGATGATAAATGGAACACTAATATTCTGAGTACTTGTAAACAATTACAATATCACAATGAAAACAACTTAAGATAATTAGAAACTAAATTAACTTCAACATGTAAATAAAGATTAAAAGCAATTCTTGTTAAACCATATCCCAAGGAGATATTGTTTTGGTAGTTACAGATATTAAAAACTTACCGAGCTAAAGGTTTTGGTTATTTTTCCCAATATTTCTGCTTCTAAGCCACATCTTTTTGGTGGCTGGAACTGCATTGATGTTGGAAGATAACATCGTTGATTATTGTTTGCCGCTGATGGTGAAACTGTTAATTAAAAAAAGAAATTGATTATAAATTATGCCCTTTTAAATAAATTGTAATCAAAATAATTGATTAAGTAGACAGCTAAACACACGTACCCATAAAATATTTTCCAGGTAGAGATGGTTGGACAGGAAAGTCTTTAAGGAGAAAGTTTTGTGTTTTACTCATAATTAAACCCAATGCTAAATCACAGGCACAATAAATCTTGTAATTAGTCATTGTGGCCATGGTTGGCGCAGAATTAGTTCCATTTTCATCTGTTTCTTGAACCATGGATGCTGAAACTCGATCTACACATGTTTTTACATTTTCAAAAGTTCTTTTGTAATATGAGAAAGAGAATTGCTCATTTTTCAAGGCGATAGGCTCGATTATGAACATTAAGCAATCTAAAAATGAAAATTTAAATTAGAAAAAAATATAATTGTTTAAAATTAATGAACAGAAGGAATATTAAAGAAATAGAATTAAATAAGAAAAACATACTTTTGACAGTTTCCAATTGCTCTACATTATCGAATTGCGTGTAAAAAGGCATATAAGCAAGAAGGTGAATTACGTAAGGCATGATACAATCAGGAAGAACGGCTTTGAGATTGTTTACACTTTTAGATTTAACCAAATCACGGCGCTTGGCAATGTTAAGAACGAGATAAGATCTAATAATAATGATAATGAGGGTATGGGAAAAAGATGAAATGATAATTAGTTTGATGTAACCACAAACTGGGTAAAAGTAGAAAAGATAATGATACCTTAATTTGTTTTTGAATGGATTGTCATTTTGATAATATCCTCCTAAACTAAAGAGAGCTAAAAACTCAAGTCCGAGGGAAAGGGAGATCAGGCCTAAATTAAGGAATAAAAAAGAAATTAGATTAATTTGAAAAATTTTCTCTCAAGAACAATAAAAAATTATTGGATGAGAAACAAACCTTTATGTAATTTGAGAGCAAATCGATCACGAACATATTCTTCATCAGCTAACAAAATCGTTGCTAATGTATGCCATTGGGTTGGGGTAATCACAGCTGACGATGGTGAGGAAGCAGCTATTAAAGTAGTATCGCCTTGCGACGTAGCTGTGATGGAATCATTACCAACTATTTTCAACATTGCCGCGGCTGCTGCCAATTTAAGCCTTGCTTTTTCATGAGTTGTACCAGCCAAGCCTTTCTCATTTAAATCACCGTTATTTTGAACGATTGCTGTCATGATTCTCATTGTGTTCATCGCAGCATTTTGATAGACAGCGACTACTTCTTGTTGAGACTCAGGTGGGGCTATTAATGTGTTTAATTTGAGTCCATACAGCCAACGAACCATGAGTTTAATTCCTTCAATTTTACATTTGACTTCTTCACTGCAAAACTCAAAGCTTACAGTAGGGTCACTAAGATCTAAATGAGACAAAATAATAAACATTAAGATGAGTGAGATCATAGCTTACAGATGAGAAGAGGTAAACAATTCTTTGATATTAATAGTTACCTCTATTCTTTTCACTTTCTTCTTGAGCCTGAACTTCTTCTTCAAGTCTTTGATCTTTCATTAGCAGATTTTGTACTACATATTTTTGAATAATTGAACGTAATAGTTTAGGGAAGAAAACGTGTCCACCGCAAGTAGCGACCATTCCAATGGTAACCAGATGAATACGGAAATAAGGAGAATCTAAAGTTAAACCAGTCTCCTGGAAAATGAAAAAAAAACATATGTGTTGTTGAAAAAATGTATGGTTAAATCAGGTGGGAAAAGAAAATTAATCAATTTACCTTAATTTGATCCAAAACTTGTGCAAATATTTTGAGCTTTTCATCATCGTCACCGATAATTGCATTCAAACATTGGATAGCATATTTTGCTTGTTTCGTTGAAGATGCTAAAAGGAGAGAGAATAACAAGTTAGATTTATCAATAGAAAAAAATTAGAGTTTGGATATTTAATTTACCTTTGAGAACAAATTTCTCAACAAGAGTGGGCACAAAATCATCTTCGGTAGCCCACCATGGAGTAGCATTCATAATGCTATTCTGATCACCATTATTTGAACCGGAAATTGTTCCTTGAACACCGCCGACGTTTGTGAGAATTTGAAGAACGATTTCACCAATTTGTGGACTGTCAGAGGACTTCCATAAGAACGGTAAGAGATAGTTGCTGAAAATTTCTTTCCCATAGAAAATGGCTGGAAAAACAGAAGACAAAGCCTAAAATATAGGAAGATAATAAGAACGGGATCATGATTAAGCGAATTTTTTTTTCAAGTCAAAACTAATTGAGAGTCAGAAAGACTTACATGGATCAATTGGAGTCCTCTTTTACCGGAAGGTTCAAGACCCAAACGAGTGTCTATTTCACCTTCACCGAGAAGTGAATCAGATACATAATTAAAAAGTACAATTAGACCTGCGAATAAGAGAATAATTAAATAAACAATTAGTTATTACATTGTATATTAATCGATCTATTGATATTATTGATCTTACCTTGGAAGTCAATCATAACCGGTGCGATTCTTTCCATTAGCTGTTTAATTATGACATAGAATGAATTTGTTTGGACAGGGTAACCCAAAGATTTTAGTATTTCTTTGACGCTGGTTTCAATTAAAGAACATGAAGGAGGCGGTGAAACTGAACCATCTTCATTAATCTGTGGAAATGATGTGGATGAAACAATGGTGTCCATGTGATGACGAAGAACTGGATTGTGACAAAGATTGTGGCACAATTTGGTGAGAAATTCATCTGCCTTTACAGGTTCAGGTAAATTTTTTGCACACAATTGAATCTTTGACCTAACTAATGGATCTTTTTCGTCCTTTTCACCATTTTTAATCAAATCTAAAACTTCTTTAACTTGTTTTCTAACACTTTGTTGTTGTCGAAGAAGCTCATTGAAAGCACGAGCAGCATGGGCGTCAATGGTAACATAGAATGTATATAAAATTTTCATCCTTTGTTGTAAAGGCAGGTTATAGGGTATGAGACATGTATGAAGAATCCTTTCAACGAGGAGTCGATCATCCAATTGTGTTTGATAATAATTGTGTAGACATTTATTTTTAATCCAGTTTAACATTTTCAATGCTGCATTGTTGACATTTGAATCGGTTGAACTTTGTCTATCATCATCTCCACCAAGCTGGGCAATGTTGTATTGTTTGTAGAGTTGAGCCATACCGAATAAAGCTTCACGACGGATCTTGAATTTCTTGTCAAGAGTACGTTCTTTGACGAAGCTAAGTAAATCTTCATTAATGTTTTCTATTCCCTTTTTAGCGGCACTTATGATGGCCATAACTACTTCATAACGAACATTCTCATCTGGATCGTGCTGTCGTTGTTTAAGTTGTTCTGTTATGTCTTCACGTAATTCGGGATGGTTGATCAAAAAGTGCATTGAATATTGAACACAACGCATACGAACGGTAACACTAATATCTCGGAATCGACCTAAAAATGATTTCCATAGTTCTGGGTATTGCTCCGCAAGTCGGGAATTTTTATCAGAAAATAGGCGAGCCAATAGTTTAGTGAATTCACATCGCTCTCTTTCTTCATTACTACGAATCTTGAATTCTAATTGAGGAAGAATACCATCCATAACTGATGGGCAAATTTGATTAAGTTCATAAAGTAAATCACAAAGTTGATTGACAGTTTGATTTTCTTTGGATAGAGTTTGATTGTTGGTAACTTTGGAACCAGGTCGTAAAGAGGTTCTTTGGGTATCTTCCTCATCATCATCAGATAATTCACCAGCATTAGCATGAACACCATGGGTGATGGCATTATTGAAATATGTGATCAAATAAGGTTCCATTGTTTTATTTGCTTTCTTCAAGATTTGGGTTGCAAGCCAGCAAGCTTGTTTATTTCCTTTCTTTTTGGGATCGATTAACTGCCAAAGTATTATCTCGACCAATTTTGAAGAAACAGCATCAGCTTCGATGATCAATGGTGTTAACATGTCAAGCATAAAGTTTTTCACTTTATCGCTGTGATTGTCATTTACAATCTTGAAGATAAGATTAAAAAGTTGACAGAAGATGGACTGAGAGTCATCCAATTCAATGCATATATTAAATGATTTAACCCAAGCAAGATTTTCAAGGAGATAGAAATATCTTTTAAATGTAGCATCTTTGGGATCTTGTAATCCTCTGAGTTGTTGAATAAAAAATAAGAATATCCTTTTTATGAGACTTGGATTTTGATAGGGTGCATTTGGCGCATAGACACGGAATACATCAGCAATGGCACAAGCGACCAATAAACGTACATCTCGTGATTGATGTTCAAGAAAAAAGTCAGTTGCTAAGTACAATGCTAATGGTATGTAACAGGTATTGTCTTCTTCTTGAGACATTTGTTGAAAAGCCATTGCAATGTCTTTGAGTCGGCGGATAAGATCATCAGTTGGTAATTCTTCATTGACATCTTTACATCCAGTAGGATAAACCAATTTATTTGGAGTTCCACCGGCACTTTGTCCATTACCTGTTATTTTAGGCATCTTGAGAGTTTGGTATCCGTGTTAAGCTTTTTCTATTTCACATTCAAAGAACTAGAATAAGAAAAACAGTAGACCAGGGGAAAGAAAAAAAGAAACACAATGAGAGAAGACGTAATGTAAAGACAACAAAGAGAAAGATAGAGAGAGTGAGAGAGTGAAGATAAAAAGAAACTAGAGTAAAAATGATGAGCACCAAAATTATGAGGATAGAAGATGAAGAAAAAAGATGAAAGTTAAGGGTTTTATGAGAAGTGAGAAAAATGAAAGGCGACAAACACACATACAAAAAAAAGAAAGAAAGAAAAATTGAAGAGAAGAAAATTGGAGAAGAAACAAAATGTAGATAGAAAAAAGAGAGAGAAAAAAAGGGGATATTGTGAGAAGAGAGAATAAGAATGATGTTGAGATGATGGCAAATTAACGGTAAGTAAATGTGTATAGAGAAACACAATGGTTAGAATTTAAGAAAATCATAGGTACAATCAATGTGAAATGTTTCTCTGTCACTAAAAACGATTTTAATTAAAGCTAAAAGTGGAAAGAATATTTGAGAAAGAGATTTTTATTGTTGACTATTTGTATTTTCTCAATTCAACGCAAAGATGTCTCTCTATCGCCGCCATGTTGTATGTTACTACAGATACTAAAAGGGAAGAAAATGGATCCGAATCTTACCAATACAACTCACACGACTGAATGAAGCCGAGATTCACAGTTTGGCGGTTAACCAAATTAAGAAACAATTAAACTTACACCAATTAAAGAAAATTGATTAAACTGTTTATCGACACAATAAAGAACATGGAATTAGGAATAAATAAATTCACTGAAAAGGTAAAAATTGTAACTTCACACACAAGGGAAAATAAAACTAAAAAAGAAAGAAAATTGACAAAGGCTTGGATAAAAAGAGAGACAGAGAAAGTAAAAAGAGAAAGAGAAAAAAGAAAGAGATGATGATAATGATGATGATGGTGAGAGAAGGAGAAGAGAAGAGAATATTATTCATGTCGACAGAGAGCGAAAGATAAACCGAAAGAGAAAATGGAAGAGGAAGAAAGGGAAGGAAAGAGCGGGATGGGTTTTCTTACCTTTTCTATTTGTTTCTCTTTTCCTTGGATACAACAAATTTCAATTTCGATTGAATTTAATTCACTTGACCAGTTAACACACCATTCGAGTTGATTAAAAGAGAGCAGATCAAATTTAAGAATATTAATTAACAATTAAAATTCCACCGAGTTAATTGTGATCACAATTAAAGGAGAAAATTAAAAGAAATTTTTTTCTAAATGTTTTCTTCAAAAGCTTTTCGCTCACTGCAATGAGGTAACGATCCCTTAGAAGCCGAGATTCTCTCTACTCTTGTTTCCTGTTTCCGTTGAGAGTTTTTTCTTCTATTTTGTCAATAGAGTTACAATTATATTGGACTCCACGTTTTAGTTTTAATTGTTAATTTAATTTAAACATTTTGTGTTTTTTTTTCTAATTACAAATGGTAAGAATTTATTCTCTATGGTTTTATGTTTATTGTGTTGTAATCGTTGTTCTAATTGTGTTTGTTGTTTCTCTTTTAGGCTTCTTTGGCTCACCGGCCATTAATCAGTGTCTACACTGAACAGAACAAAAAATCTGGAGTCAATGTTAAATTGCCAGCAGTTTTTCGAGCTCCAATTAGAACTGATATTGTTAATTTTGTCCACACCAATCTTAGGAAGAATAATCGACAACCTCATGGAGTTTCTAAAGAAGCAGGTTAGTGTTTTTGCGTTTTTTTGTCTGCTGTTTATTTGGCAACTTTTCTTTCGTTGAGAGATTGGTGTGCTTTTAAATGATGATTTTATCTTGGTCCGTGTTTATGAATCATGATTACGTTTAATTACAAGATACTGATATTTAGTTTTATCTGTTTGGTGTCATTTTGAAAATGTTTTTTTGTTTAACTAATTTTTATTGTTTCTTTTCTGTCATCAGGTCACCAAACTAGTGCTGAGTCATGGGGTACTGGTCGAGCTGTTGCTAGGATTCCACGTGTAAAAGGTGGTGGAACCCACAGATCAGGTCAGGGTGCCTTTGGTAACATGTGTAGAGGTGGTAGGATGTTTGCTCCTCTTCGTGTATGGCGACGATGGCATCGAAAAGTTCACCTTAATCAAAAACGATATGCTGTTGTCTCAGCTATCGCTGCATCTGGTGTGCCAGCCATTGTTATGGCTAAAGGACATCAAATCCAAGAGGTTCCAGAATTTCCTTTAGTTGTTTCGGATAAGATTCAAGAACTTTCTAAAACTAAGGATGCAGTTAAATTCTTGCGACGAGTAAGAGCATGGAATGACATTGAAAGAGTTTACAAATCTCGATGTATCCGAGCTGGTAAAGGTAAAATGCGAAACAGGCGAAAGGTTCAACGTTTAGGACCAGTTATCATTTATGGTAAAGACGCTGGATGTACCAAGGCTTTCCGTAACATCCCAGGTAAAAATTCATTGCAATTAAATTTTTTTCTATGAGTTGTCTTTCTATGATGATTTTCAGATCTTGGTCCGTGTTTATGACCCTCATGATTAATGAGATCTCCTTTTCCTGAGTCAAAGTTTTTCCACATTTAAACTTACTCATTGTTTATTTGGTTATCTAATATTTTTCTTTCTATTCTTCTAAAGGAATTGAAACAATCAATGTTGAAAAGTTGAATCTTCTCCGATTAGCTCCTGGTGGTCATGTTGGTAGATTCTGTATCTGGACCGAAAGTGCTTTCCGTAAATTGGATGCCCTTTACGGAACCTGGACTAGATCATCTAAACTCAAGCGTGGTTACAAGTATGTCTTTTTAAATCTCTAAATCAATTTCAATCTAATATTTAATATTTCTAATCGATTCATTTTCTTCCCAACAGTCTCCCTCAACCCAAGATGACCAACTCTGATGTTACTCGTCTCATGAGAAGTGAAGCAATCCGTAAAGTCCTCAGACGCAGAAAGTATGTTTCTTTTGAATTCTTATCCATTAATGTTAAATGATGAATTGCACTGGGCTATGATTTAGTGATTTCCATGTGCCCAACTGAAAATATTTAAAACTTCATTTTTTATATGATTATTCTTGAACATGTTTATTAATTGTTGCTTTTTCTTTTCCCATCTTGCAGGTCTCGAATCTATCGAGCTAAAGTTAAACGTAATCCTCTTAAGAACATTCGTGTCATGGCTCGTCTCAATCCTTATGCTCCAGTCCTTAAAAATAGAATTCGTCTTGCTAACAACAAACATCGGGAAGCTCGTCGTCTTCTTGTCAGAGCCGCTGCTGGTAAAAAGATTTCTGCTGAAGATAAGAAGAAGGCTCTTGCTGTTCTCAGAACATACCACAGAACTTCGAAGGATGCCCGTAAATTGTACGATTCACGTTACAAGGCACGAAAAGAACAACAACAATCTAAATTAGAAAGGAAACGCGCAGCAATCAAAGGTACAGGGGAGGAAGCAACTAGATTGAGGAAACAGAAAAAAGCAGAATAGATTCTAAATTAAAAAGTCCCAACAACAACTGAATGAATCCATTAACAAGAACAATAAGATCCCCGTTTTTGTGACAAATTTTTTTGTGAGAAAAACAAAAAATTGGTTTACATGAAAATAAAGTTGAAAAACCTTTATTATAAATTGATTCTATACATATATTATTGTTTTGTATTTTCTCCTTTTTTTAATCAATGTAACATCTTATGGTCACTTGGACTTGTTTTCTCATTCGAATCTCGTCCATCATCACTCGCGATTATAACTCCATTCGAACTTTGTCCTCTTTCCCTCGATCATAAACCATTTTCCTCAATTTTTCGACCTCATTCTCCAAAATGCTGACCTTTGCCAAGAGTCTCATGTTTTCGTGTTCGAGCAATTTGACCTTCATGTGAGTTTGATGTTCTTTGAGTCGCCTCGACTCTCTCGATCTCTTAGCCGATTCGTTGTTTCGTCTTCGTCGCTCCCAATAAGCGTCGTCTTTACAATTATCGGGAATCGGCTGCGGTTGACGTTTAGCTTTCTTCAAGTTGCTCGTTAACATGGAGGAACTTGAGTTGTCGATAGCCGATGACATGGAACTATCGTAAATAGATTGAGGTGTCGAAGGGTTTAAATTAGCTGAACCTGAATCACTTGCATCCGCATCTCCATCAGTCGCTCCCTCGCCTCCAGTTCCACTTGTCGTTCCCTCCATGCTGAGCCCTTTCCCACCCCCAACGGCGCTTTCATTGACTCCAGTAACTTCACTCCAATGACTTCGTCTTGTAATCAACGAGGGCGGCGAAGCTGTTGCATGATCCTCACCGTGATAAGCGTGAGTCGATAACTCTAATGCCGTCGTCGGAATGGATCCAATGTTTGGAGAAAGTGAAGATTCATGAGCGGCGCCATTTCCACCACCATGAGATAAGTTTCTCGATGATATTGATAAATGATTCCCATTGGCACCAGAAGAGGAAGATGATGAGAGCAAATCTCTATCAGGAGTTGATGAATCTCCATAAATTAAATAATTGTTGTGTAAATGGTGAAAATTGTGATGAGAATGATGATGAGGTGAACTATGGTGATTAGGACTATGGTGGGAATTATGATGCGACCCTCCACCGCCACCGCCATGGTGTGAATTATGATGAGATGAGTGATGATGAGGTGAATGGTGATGATCATTACCGGAAACCAAATTACTATTTGCGTTAATTGTTGAACTTGTTGAACTCATAACATGTTTAGCATATAAACTGGTGGGCAGCGAGTCAGAGGTCGGCGGGTTGAAATTACCATGATGGGAGGGATGATGATGATGATGAGAGTTTGAAGAGTGGAAACTGTGATGATGAGCAATCTGAGGTGGTTGCTGATGGTGTGTCGTCGTGTGGTGTGTGTGGTTGTTGTGTTGATGTGCATGAGCAACAGCAGCAACCGTTGACCCCGAAGTTGATGATGACGATGAATTGTGATGACCATGATGGTGACCATGATGATGACCATGAGAAGATGATGAAGATGACCCATGGTGACCATGGTGAGTCGTCCCACCGCTGGTATGGTGCGAGTGGGAATGCCCATGGTGCCCGTGATGATCAATTGCCGGTGACCTTTTCGTTTGATGATGATTATCATTTAAACTACGGGAAAGAATTGTGTTTTTACATTTGGCCATGCTCATTATCACAATCAGTTAATTGTTGAAAATTGTTACAAAACAATCTGATCCCGAACAGTGAAAACAAAATTGAACAATCAATCGTAATAATCAAATTGGTTGATCAATTTTAACGTCAACAATTAGATCACAATAATCATCTACATGCACATTGGAAATGATGATTTATACACAATTTAATTAACAAGAGTAACAATTTAGTAAATTGATTTTTAATTGGCTTTTTTTTTCACCTCGCAGTTGAAAAATATTTTCAATTATTATGTATTAATATATCACAGCACACAATTAGTTAATAGTGATGATTAGTTAATATTTTGCAACGTTAATTGTTACCTTTTCTTGCTCCTTCTGTATATTAGATTGTATAATTATTAGATCAATGTTAATTAACTATGAACACACAATCAGATATAATTTTTTTTACAAACAATCAAGTAAATAACATTGATTGGAATAGATGAAAAAAATAATAATTAAACGTTGAGATTGTGATGAGGATGATGATGATTATGGTGAATCCAGAAAGATGATTAAGATGATTAAGAGTAAGAAAATCAATTAATACAAATAATACAGATTAACTGTTAGTTAATCACATGAAATTATCTCGTTTCAAGTGTATAATAAAAACAAATGATGATCAAACTCAATAGTTAAAGTAACAATCAAATCTTTACACACATACACACACCAAAGGCACACACAATCAACACTTATGCTAGTTAATTATTGTAATTATCATCGACTGATCAGATTAAATTATCTCTCCCTCCCTCTAATATTTATTATCATCTAACAATTTTTTTTATTACAAAAGTCAAGGCTGAAATCATCATCATCATCATCATCATCATTATATTGTTATTATCATTATCGAGATGATGATTACCGTTAGTCTTGATTGTCTCATCAATGAACTTTACCTTCTTTGGTGAAGATAATTAGTGTTCATTAATTGAATAAGGAAACACCATTGAGAATTTATTCTCATCCTCATTAATCATCTTTGGGGTTTTTTTTCACAATTAGTAAACCGGAAGGTAAAAGGGTTTCCAGACTTTCTCTCTCTCTCAATCTCTTTCAATATCTCTCTCTCTCTCCCTCTCTGTCAGTGTGATGGTTATGAGAATGAGAAATTGATAATCGCTTGTTGATTGAATTTGAAAGTAAATTTTTCAATTTTCCAGCTTAAACAATAATAATAATAATTAATAGTATTTGCGATTGACTCTTGATAACAATAGTTCAATGTACATCTATGTACAAGGTGAAAACGGTCCACTTGAAATCATTAAATATCTTTTCCATGGTGATGATTACATGATGATTTATGAGATGATATGTGTGACTGCTTAACCTTTTTTCTTATAAATCTTTCTTTGTACAGGTTATGGTGTGTAAGAGACAATTTTGACTTTTGATGATTTGGTTAAGTAGACCTTAATTGTAGAACCTTTTTCTGTATGAAAATCCTTTCTCTCACTCACTGACTCTCTCTCTCATGTCTCTCTATCACTTTCTGTCTTTTTCCATTCATCTGTTTGTTTATCTTTTTCCTTAGACTGATGTTTCCGCCATTTTATCCTCTAAAAATACATCATCACATCTTTCGGTTGTTCCGTTGATTCCGTTGCTTTCAATACTCGTCCGAGTTGACACAAATTGGGAAGTTGGAGAGGAAAGTGATGAGGGTGATGAAGATGAAGTTCCATGATCACTGGTTACAGGTATATTCAATTTACTCCTAGAAAATAAACTATCACCTGTCCAAAGTTTATTCGCGCGTTTTATCCTTTCCATCTAAAAGATAGAGAGAGAGAGAGAGAGAGAGAGAGAGAGAGAGAGTGAGAGAAAGATAAATAAGAGAGGAGGATTAGAAGATAAATGAAAAATTCAAGCGAATGGTGGAAGTTTTGATAAGGTTGATGGTGTGAGAATTCAGGGTTTACGTTCAATTTGAGTTTGTGAAACCTGTAAGGGGTGTCCCAAATTACTCTTGCAACGAGGTGAATGTATGTAAATGTGTATTGACACGGTTTACTTACAGAAACATTATATTTTAAAGCTAATCCTTGAAGAGTATCATTTGGTTGAAGCTTATGTTCAATATAACGAGGCTCTTTGTAGGTACTATTAACAGTGGATCCATATTTTGTTTGCTTACGAACGATATTACCAATAAAATGATACTCATCAGCATCCAAATTAGATTGTGACATCATGAGAAGAAAATTAAAGACGATGATGAATGTTGAGAATGATGTTTAAGTGGTGATGATGATGATGATGGAGAATATAAAATAAAGGCCAATATTGAAGAAGAGAGATCAAGAGAAAGAAATGATAGCCCTTAGATTAACCTTAAAAGAGAATAGAAAAAAAATTTAAATTCGATTAGAAAATTAGACTTATAATTGTTACAAGAAAAGCGTTTGGTTACAAATGATTAAATCAAAAGGTAAACAAAGATTAACACATTACAGTGAATGGGGAAACTATAACAACATCATAGGCAAGGTGTTCAAATATTAAGACTTTTGTTTCATCTTGTGATTTAATTTAGTTGAGCTTTAATTAGTATAAGTAAATCGCCTACACAAACAGTAATTAATTTACTTACCTATATGTTAACTAATTGTTAAATTAATGGTGGTTGAGGTGGTTGATTGTGAGAATGAAAATTTAGAGATATCAAAACAATAGATTTTGTATTAGTTTTTTTCATTACACTTGAAATTTAGGCCTTGAGGTGAGTCCACAACTTGAAGAGAAGAGGGAAGAAAATAACAGAGAAATCATAATGTAACAATTAACTTGGATAATCAGACCATTTGGTTAATTAAAATGTTAAAAGATTAAAATGATTGGCAAAAACACAAACTAAATTTAAAGATCAACAATTAGTTACCAACTCAACCGGTTGAATCACAAGTGACAAATAAAAAAAACGTTCAAAAGTATAACTCATTTTTACCAATAATAGATGTCACTAGTTAGTTGAAAGACGAGAGAAAGCTACTTTTTAAAAGTCACGATTGCAGAAAAGAAATTACAAAAACAATGGAACTGATCAATGGACTGAGTAACTTAGATGCAATATTCATTCAGGAAAGTAATATGAACACCCCATTAGCTGCTGAACTGTGACGAACTCACAGATAAAGATGATAATAGGATCATATGACTACCTGATAGAGAATCAAAATGCTTATGGACATCAGAAAGTTGATTCATTTCAAATTATTTTCAATTGTGAAAACTAGATGTACAAAGGATAACCTAATGGAAATGAATCAAAGAAAACATCAAGGATATTCTGATAAAGAGACACAGGCGCAGATGAACTTCTTAGAAGGAAACAAATTCTTCTAAAATTTCTGACAAAAGAAAAGTATAATTATATGTTTTTACTTGAATTTATAAAGAATCAGTAGAAAATAAGAACTTTTTCTAAGAAAGTAGATGAGCTCGAAAGTAAGTGAATTTCCATGAAAGTCAATGGATTTTCATCATAGATTCAATAATAAGATGAATTTTATATGGACTTTCTAAGAAAGTAAACTTTCGAATTGTAAATAACGTACCCAAAATATCATAGATTTCTTACCTTTAAATTGTAAATAATATACCTAAATCATCTTAGATTTGTACCTGAAATCATACCCACCCTAATAACTAGACCCCAAAAAATTCATAAAATCTAATCCCATCAACATGTAAAAATCTAAAAAAAACGTAGCGCAATACTAGGCTACGCTCTGTAAGGGAAGAGAAAACATAAATAGACGAAAAATTTCCCCGTTTTCTTTTGTTTTCTATCTAATTAATCAAAATTAACGAATTAATTATCTTTCTTCCTTATTAAATTTTTATTCCAACTTGTTAAGTAAGAAACGGTGATTACGCCGATATATTACTTACCATCAAAATGTGCCAAAGTGATTCAGCAATTGAACATCACTCTGATGATTCTAACAACCACGTGGAATCGGGAGATTCAAATATCATCGCCTCGCTGAAGGAATTGATCTTCGCGAATCTATCGATCACAGCAAAGAAAAAGGTCGGTAACAAGATTGAAGAGAAGCTTAAACAACTGAATGATATCATTGAGAAGAAGCAAAATCATGAAGCTGATCTCAACAATAAGATGAATATCATACTGGGAAAGATTGACAGCATCAAGTCAAAACCATCGACGTTTGCTGAGAAGGCCAAAAGTAAACCCAAAGATAATCAAGTGATTGTAAAAGTAAAAGAGAATGAGGATAAGGAAGGTACATGTCAGATTCTAATAAAGGAACTGAAAAAAGACCTAAACATCCAACTGAAAGAAATCAAACAAATAAGACATGGAATGATAATTACTTCGGACATGATGAACCTCAAGGAAAAAGTTTTAACTATGGCCAAAAATCTTCAGATTGATCAAGTGGTAACCATCAACAGTGTGAATAAACTACTACCGCAAATCCAAATAGTTGTACCAAAAGAGGAGTTCGAGAATGCTGAAACTTTCAAGAAGAGAAATAACCTGGCCGAGGAAAGTGAAGTCTCATTTGTGTCGAGTTATGACTTTAAAACAAAAAGGGGAATGCATCTCACCAAAGTAATTGTACGAATGGATAAAAACAGTCGAACCAGAATCGAGGAAAGAGGAAAAGTCTTCATGGGCTGTACTGGCACTAACTTTAGAGATAATTATTATGTAAAATATTGTTCAGCTTGTTTCAAGATTGGCAACCACACAAGACGATACTGTGAGGAGACCCCAATATGTACCAAGTGTCATGAAAGACATGGTGGAGATAAATGTGTTAACCAAGATCGAGTTGAGAAATGTTGTTTACTTTGCAAGGAAAATGGCTTCGACCAAACCGCGCATCGACCTAAATCTGAAGAGTGTGCATCTTATAATCAAGCAATCAAAAAAATTCAATCAATTACTGATTGGGATAAGAATGAAGCTACTTTTTAAAAGTCACGATTGCAGAAAAGAAATTACAAAAACAATGGAACTGATCAATGGACTGAGTAACTTAGATGCAATATTCATTCAGGAAAGTAATATGAACACCCCATTAGCTGCTGAACTGTGACGAACTCACAGATAAAGATGATAATAGGATCATATGACTACCTGATAGAGAATCAAAAATGCTTATGTGGACATCAGAAAGTTGATTCATTTCAAATTATTTTCAATTGTGAAAAACTAGATGTACAAAGGGATAACCTAATGGAAATGAATCCAAAAGAAAACATCAAGGATATTCTGATAAAGAGACACAAAGGCGCAGATGAACTTCTCTTAGAAGCGAAACAAATTCTTCTAAAAATTTCTGACAAAAGAAAAGTATAATTATATGTTTTTTACTTGAATTTATAAAGAATCAGTAGAAAATAAGAACTTTTTTCTAAGAAAGTAGATGAGTTTTCTCGGAAAGTAAGTGAATTTCCATGAAAGTCAATGGATTTTCATCATAGATTCAATAATAAGATGAATTTTATATGGACTTTCTAAGAAAGTAAACTCGAATTGTAAATAACGTACCCAAAATATCATAGATTTCTTACCTTTAAATTGTAAATAATATACCTAAATCATCTTAGATTTGTACCTGAAATCATACCCACCCTAATAACTAGACCCCAAAAAATTCATAAAATCTAATCCCATCAACATGTAAAAATCTAAAAAAACGTAGCGCAATACTAGGCTACGCTCTGTAAGGGAAGAGAAAACATAAATAGACGAATTAGTTAATTTCTTTTTTTAATTGTTACTAATTAAATCAATTAATTAGAATTTGGAGATTATGATCAGTTGATGAATCGACTTGTTAATTACCTGGAAAACTGGATTAATGGGGAAACAATTTAATTCCTAGCGAGAGAAATTTATTCAAATCTATGATTATGTTTACTTTTTCTTGGAGAGAAAAATAATTTCCATTGGTTTATGTTGACAATTAACTGATTGTTGTTGATAGTTTTGCTTGATTTTTTTGTTCTTGGTCTATTGTGGTTATATTATTGATGATGTTGGTGATGATGATAATATGATTAGATGAGGATGATGATTAAGATGATAAACACGTGATTTAGTGAGTGAGTTGCTTAAAGTTGTTTAAGGTAAAAACTTATTCATTTTCAAATGTTACCTTGTGTTGATTTAATCAACTTTAATAATCATCTTGGTTAATTGTTGATTAACTTTTCAATTGTGTGTAACTGTGTCCACTATGTTTTGATATAAATCAATATAAATGTGTATTAGTTGATTGGTTAATTGTCCTTGATTGTTTTAAACACGAAATTGTTACCTCTCAAATTATTTGAACATTTTTTTTATTATTTACCAATTGTTGATTGTTAATTGTTTCAATTATTTGTACTTTGTCATCAAAGCTTGTTAATTCACATGTCGGATTGATTTAATATCATCAATTTTTCATCTGATTACATTGGAAACAATTAACTTAATTGTGAAAAGTGAAAGTTAATCAACAAGGAAAAGTTTGACTTTCATTTTTTGTTCACAATTCATTGAAGGTAAGAAATTGATTTTTTCCCTTTTCTTAATTAAATTTAATTGTTAAGCCGATTAGGTTGATGATTAAGACTAGTGTTTCTAATTATTGATGGATTGAAGGTTTTAAATATTAAAAAAAAAACCAACAATTTACTGGTAATTAATTACCATAGTTAACTAATTGTCGTTGCTGTTACTGTTTCTGTTTTCTTGGTTCATTTGATTTGTAAGCTCATCGTTTACTTTTAATTGTTAATCAAGTTAATCAATCATTCATATCTAATTTAATTCACCATCTAATACTGTATAGCCAATCAATTAGCTTTACAATTTGTTAATTTGATCATTTACTTTATTAAGAATCGATAACCTTCAATTGAGTTAACTTAATCTTCTGGTTACAATTTAATTTGATTGTTGGAAAGTTAATCGTTATTAAAATTAAACTATTAGGATGAATATGATTAGTTGATTCAGTCTGATTAACATGTTTAATAGTTTAATTGTATTGATAGTTTGTAACTCAATTAACTCTTGATTTCTCATGATCATCATTAATTTTACTTGAAATTACTAATTAATTGTCATATTGACGACATTGAATTACAAGTTTAATCGTTGGTACAACAACAATTAACCAATTTTCCTGGTAATTTAATTAAAATCTCACAATAATGATTATCTCATCAAACACTTTAATTGTTAATCACAAACCTATTAGATTAAATTATGTTACAATTCAATTTAAAGTAATGATGAGAAAAAATTTTCTCATCAAATTGAAACAATTAAATTTGATTCTTATCACAACATGGCAATTGTTACAATAACAATTAATAATATCATCAGTTAATTGTTTGTTTGTCCATTAACATATAATATGAAGAAAAAAAAATTCCAATTGTGATGATCAAGGTTCTTGATTGTTAATTTAATATTAAGTTACATTGATGGTGATAAACAATTGACATACTGAGTTATTGATTGTTGTTGATTGTAAGTGTGACAATTAACAAATTACAAATAAAATATAACCTCAACGTATAAGGAGTTAATCAACATGAGAATTAAGTAAATATAGTTAATTGTTTACCTTAAATTGTTCATGAGATTTGTTTTACTATTAGTTAACTACAACAATCAAGAGTCAGAACTTTGTTTTTTAACCAAACAATTTAATCATCATCACAATTACCTTAGATTTGATATTAAATATTATTGTTATAAACAATTTATTATTACATGAAAAACTACAATCAACAACTAAATTAAATTTAGGATTAGAGAAGCATGAAATTGTTCAACAATCAATCAATTGGTTATATAAAAATTAATCATCTTTTAGACAATCAAAATTAAGTTGATCAATTGATTGGTAAGGTCGTTTGGTTAGTGTAACTTACCAACAATTAAATTAAAAAGGATCAAAATTAAGGTGAAATTGATTGTTAATTATCATAAAAAATGGTTAACTATTTAGTTAAATTGTGATTGATTGTGTGAATCTCTATGTAAATCATATGAAGGGTTAAGAAAATGATTAACATTGATTGTGAATGAGTGAAAGTTAATTGTTAACCAGTTCTTATTACTAAACTGGTTTTATAAATGGTTGATTATTTGAGCTTGTCAATTGATTGAATTGATTATTACAATTGAACCTTTTTAAATTGTTATAAGACAATCGGAAACATCAAGTTTATCATGATGATCAACATTAAAAGAAATTAAATTTCAATTTTCAATTGCAATTAAATTGTTGTAATTCATTGAAACTCTGAAAATGGTTAATAGTTGGTTAACCTTGAAATTTGATTTTTCTGATTAAATTAAAAACAGTTCAACAATCAACGCAATTGGGATTGTAAATCTCTGAGATTATTTGATTACTAACAATTAACTTATCATCTTTGAATCAATCAACAGTCAACAATCAATTTAAAGTGAAAGTTAATCAACTCATATTGAAAATGGTATTTTCCAATTAACTGAATGGTTGATTGTTTATTAATTCAGTTATTGATTTGATTGTGAGATGATGATGATCTAATTTCATCACCACCACCAAGTTAATTGTTCAACTATATCACAAATTGTAGCTCGAGAAAAAAAAATAATCCAAACTAATCAATGACAATTTATTAATCATCCCAATAGGTTGGGAAAAATGATCTGATTTGGTTTGCACTTTTTTGATTGTAATCATGATTAGTTGATTAAATTTGTGGTTGCAAAAAAATAAATTGTGTCACCATGATGATTAAGTTAATTGTTGGTTATTATGACGATGATTAGCAATAAAATATAAAAAAATTTCTTGATTCTAATAATAATAATTGTTATTTTTGAGTCTCATGATTAACAATCATGTTAATCATTAGCAATTATTTATGAATCTTCAATATAAATAAATATGAATCATTAAACTTTAGTTTAATGATAACCAACAATTAAGGATAAAAAAGTAATCAACTTTATCAAATTATCGTCATGATTAACTCAATTGTTATGGTGACAATTTAAATGATATTCATGTCTGTCTAATCCATACAAATTTAATTGTTAGTAATCAAAAGATTTAACCGTTGACAATCAAGTTAATTAACTTTAAGCAAACTTTTTTTTTACTATCATCATAGTTAGACAATTATGTTTACATGATTAGAAAGTGTTAATTGTGATTTAAATGAATTCACCTCTTCCTGTTCATTGAAAGCAACAATTACCACAATTTATTGTGTTAATTGTCAATGATTAACTTACTATTCTAATGATGATGACCTTGCCATCTTAATTGTTGCTCAATTAATTTCCTCAGATGAAAGTTAATTGTAATTTAATGAGAAATTAATTTCCCAAAGTCTAATCATTAGACAATTGTAACATTTTTCCCCATCACAATTTAAAGTATATTAGGTTAATCGTAACTGGATTTACAAATTGTTATGATTAGTAAAATTCACAGTTGTCTAACAATTAACCCAAATAATTTATTTTTAACTTGATTTTTTCAAACCATAATTTAAATTGCTCATCATGGTTGTCAGTTGATCATCATAATCAAGAAATAGAGAGACAATTAAATTAACTCAAACAACAATTTAACTTTTTTATCTTTATGATTTTTGATTAGCAGGATTTCATCAACAATCAACATGATCATCATTCATGGTTAATCAATTAAATTAATGGGTAACAAGTTAATCACGATTTACGATTATGACACAATTAAAAATAAACTTAAATTGAAAATTTAATTAATTTCAATCAACTTTGATTGTTAGAAACAATAAATAACTAAATTGTTAAACTTATCTGAATATAACTTTGGACAATTTATTGGACAATTAAAGTTAATTTTAGACAATCAATTAAACTGTTTTCATATCTATTACCTAATTTTGCTTGATGACCTTTATTTTGAATCAAATTTGACTAATTAATTAGTTGATTGTTGTGTTGATTTACATATACGATAAGTAGGTTAAGATGAGAGGTGACAATTTGTAGGATGTTTTAATTGTGGAGGTTGATTGTTGATTAAAACCTTAGATGGATTTTATAATTCATATCTTGATTGTATTAGCTATTAAATTAATTATCTTGGTGACACTAAATTGTTACACGATAATTTTCATAAAGTTCAACAACAATTAAACAAATCGCCTCCACAATTAACTCATCATCCTACCGGTTAAATATTGGTAACAATTTAATGTGACATCCTAATAACCTAAATTAACCTAACAATCAGTAAATGTTGAAAGAAAGTGAAAACTATTTTGAAACAATTAACACTCACAATCAATAAATCACATGATTGATTTCAATTGTAATTTACTTAACTAATTCGTGATTAGTTCAATGATCACGGAGTCTTAATTTTCTTGTGCTAATATCAACATAGGATTTAATCACGATCAAGTTTAGTAAATTGTTGTTACTATTTGTTGAAGGGTTAATCAACTTTCAGCAATTTAAATTGTTTTTTACAAAGTTATTGAATCAAATTTAATAAAAAAAATCACCATCATAATGTTGATTACAATTTAATCGTAACAACAATTAACTTTTCAATCTAGAAGTTGAGAAAAAAACAAAGAATCAAAATATTATTATCAACGAAATGATTACAATTTATTTAGTAATAAATTACCAAGTTAATTATGATGAAAACAAAATTAAACCTGAAACCATTGTTAACTAACTATCATAATAACAAAGTTTCAAAAACAATTAACTAACAACAATCAAGTTATCATCATGATGATGATCATCAATAAATTCAATGTTATTAGATAATCAAGTTAACCTCTTTGGTAAATAATCAGTTTCAAACAATTTCAAGGTTCTAATTGTTGGGAAAAGTGATTCAATTTACATGTTAATTGTTTGTGATCATAGACACAATTTCCGTAAATTGTGGACAATTAATGTCAAGTAGTTTAGTATTTCCTAACACTATCAACAACTAAACAATTACAATCAAATTTAATCATCATCTTAATTTTTTTCAACTCCTTTTTCAAGGTTTTCCAGTTTTAAAATTAACCAACTTGTTGAATACAATTGACAATGATTGTAATTATGATTACGATGATTGTAATGATGATTAGCTGCTAATTATAATTACAATTTGACCTTAATTTTTTTCTTGCCTTGTAACTGTGTAGTTTAATTGTTAATCAACCTACGAGATGATTAACGAAAAAAAATTAGATTTGTAACCTTTAAGATGGCGTTTTTTTTGCGATTTAATTTCCAAGGCTTTTTGTCTATGGACTTGTCTTCAATTTATCATCATTATCATCCTCCTTCTCATCTTAACTGTCTTAATTTCCTCTCTCTCCTTAATCATCATGATCAAATTTGATTGTGGGCTTTGATTGTGATCAAATTGTGCAAAGGAAAACATTGATTTCCTTTTCATTGGAAACCTTGTTTTTTTTTGTTCATTTCAATGAGATTGACTTAATTGTGGATTAATTTGTTAATCAATCAACCCACAATTAACCTAGGAATTGCTATTCTAATCCACTAATTAACTTTCTTAGATTTCCTTGATTTAGTTGTTCAATAATAATACAATTGAGAAACTGATTGAGGTGAAAATCATGTTTAGACTGATTCACTTTGATTAACTTTACAATTTTGGTTAATTGTGATGATCATTTAGATTGATTGTTAATTAAAAGATGCTAATGTAGGAAGGAATTAATTAATTGTTGCGGGTGGATTATTAATTGTATTTCTTTTTATTCTTGTTCATTTAGTAACAATTAATAATGGATTAAGTTTAATCGCCTTAAGGGTTGATTAACAATTAACTGATTTCTTGCACAATCAAGACACGATTTAACTATTCAATTAGCTAATTAGGATCATAATGCTTATTAAGACCATCGAGTTGGTTAATTGTCAGTTGTCAACAATCAACAAATTTAAGGTTATTCAACTGATTTAAATTAACTTTGGTCATGATGATCAATATTGATTAGCTTAATTGTAGCAATTTACTAAGTATTTAATTGATTAAATCAATTGCCCGGCGATGTGAGTAATTAAACAAATTTTTACAAATCATATTTTTTAATTAAAAATATTAACTATGAATTAGTTAATTAAAATGTAGATTCAATTGTTTAACCCTATGGCCAAAGATGATTTAATTTAGTAAAATAATTAACAATCGTGATTAAGGGTCAGAGAGATTTAATTAATTATTTATCAACTTCAACAATTAAAAATGATTGTGATTAAAGGGGAAACCAAATTGAATCTCTGTTATTTATTAATTCGTGATTAATTAACATAGATTTTAATTAGTAAATGATTAACTTACAATGAGAACAATTAAAACTTTTTCTTTTTACACAATTAATTAATCTTCCTATTGATTAATAATCAACGGGTCAAGTTAATTGTTCAAAGTTTAAAAGATGGAGAAAAAATCACAATCAATTGATTATGATCAAGGTTATCACAATTTATTAATCATCTTTTGTCAGGTAAATTGAAACTAAATCAGTTAATTGTTATTGTTTTTCATTGGATTGTTTTTTGTATTTTCAGGATTAAATTGTTAACAATTAACTTGATCTTTTGAGCTGATAATTTTTGTGTGTTTGATTATCAACAATTTGTGGTAATTGTTGCCGGGAATAAACAAAAATAAAAGGCAATTAACTGATCACAATCAAAATTGATTCTTGGATAAACCTTATTTTTGGTTCTTCAATTTGATTGTCAATACGTGTTTTTGATTATCACCTAGATAATTAACTCGTAAAACCATTAACCATAATAATTAAGATGACAATTTGAATTTACAATTAATTTCTATTGTATAACAATTAAGTTAATTTTTTTTTATTCTGGTGAAAGTGTTAATTATCCCGCCAACAATTTACAGTTGATTGGTGTTGAAACTAAATTGTTGTTAATTATATATTGATATTTATTGTATCTTTATATAAATACTTACCATTGATTAACAATTAGTTTAATCATCTTGCGAAAAAGTAAAGTTTACAATTGAATGAACATGAGACAATTGAATCAACAATTAACTTTAACAATCATCTGTTTCAAATCGTTGCTGTTGATTGATTGATTAACGAATTGTTAACAATTAGTAAACTCATAATCTAAATACTGATAACAATTTAAATAGACACAGAAATTGAATCAAGGATTTTCAGATGATTCTAAAAGGTAAAAGATTTAATAACAATTAAAGTCTATGAAACTAAATTAAAATTAATTGTTGAGCAGATTGTAATTGTTTCTGTTTTTGTAGTTTGTGCGTTAATTGCTCACGAGATATTTTAATTACTACGAAAATATTTAAATTGTTGTCACGCAATTAACTTTTTTTTTTAATATTAATCAGATGAAAAATATTTAACTATGGACAAGTTAACTATGGCATCTGTAGTTAATAGTTGTAGTTAGTTAATTGTTATTTTAAATTGTTGATTCTGATTATGAAGATGATGTTAATTGTTGTGTTGTTGTTGTTTGCTTGATATTGATGACGATTAACTTATGGTGTAGGTTTTGCTTTTTCATCAGCTAAATTGTTGAAGGTGTTTGAACAATTTAACAATCAGGTTAAGGTGAAACTGAATTTGTTAATTGTTAAAATATTAATCATAACAATAATGTGTATCTATGAGATGGAAAGTGAATCTTGTGAATGGAAAAAAAAAGTTTTCTGATAATTTGCTTTTTTCTCTTAATTGTTGCGATGAAAAAGGTAAATTTAATTTAATTGCCTTCCTTTAATTGTGTAGTTAATTGTGATTAGTGTGTGTGTGAGTGTTTGTGTAGGTTTATGAAAACATGTTTTCAATTGATTGTAAGCGTAGGTTAATTTAATCAAGGTTCATCATTCATCATCACTCATTGATCATTAATTTGCTTCCTTGATTAAGATTATCCTCAAATCATTTGAATCTTATTAATTGCTGATGATTGTGTCATCATCTTCTCACCATTAAAACTTGATTGTCAATTAAATTATTCATTTGCATGCCAATCATTAACAACAATTTAACAAAATTGTTATATTGTTTTTCATCAACTTCCGACAATTTGATTTTTCAATAGTCGGAAATTAAATTTCAATAAAACTTTGGCTTATATAATGTTAATTGTTTCACTTAAATTAATTGTCATGATTAATTGGCAACTTTGTATATGCAAATTATTGATTAAATGCCAAGTTGATTGTGATTTTGAGGTAACAATTTAATAGGAACTAAAAAACTAGATTAAATTGGAGAAACAAAAAAATGATAAAACAATCAAATTAATAAATTGACGTTGAAGTAAATCATTTTTTAGACCAATGGTTGATACAATTAAATTTTGCAAAATTAATTTCTACCAACAATTAACTTAATTGTCTCATTTTTGAACAAAAATCTTACAGATCCAAAATTGGAAAACTTTTTCTCAAGTAACTCAAAAATCATCTTGAAGATCACAATTTAAATGTAACGAACAACAATTAAACCCATTGACGAATTAAACCAATGATCATTAATTAGTTTAATCAGTAAATTATGCCTGGTAGTTTACTAGAAACAATTAATAGTAATAGTAAAAGTGACGAGGAAAAATTAAAATCTTCTCAACGATCAGCAACTCGATTGTCACCATTTTCACCAACACCAAGCGTACAATTAAAGAGTAACAATTATAATCGTAATAATAACAATCAACTAATCAGCTCAGCTCGGTCTGATAGATCTGATGGTTCTAATTGTGATTCGGAAGGCGGTGGATCAACATCAACAACAACATCAACCTCCAACAAAAAGGTTTCCTTCAATAAAGCAGTTCGAGTGAAAAAATATTCATCACCACCAACACACTCAGGTGATTTAAGTGAAAGTAAATTTTGGTTTAGAGTGCACAAGGCCAATAATTGTGACCACCTAAACAACAATCAACTAAATCAACAACAGTTAATACCGACTGATAATCAACAGCAACCACAACAACCACAACAACAACAGCGACATCAACAATTACCATCAACCGATCATTCAATTCAATCCTTACCTTCAAAAGGTAAACTTGATTTATCCTCATCTTTATCATCTACTCATCATCTTGATTCTTTTATTAATTCTAGTCAATTGTTTAATTTAAATTCTAAAGGTTCACCATTGTCTAATTCTGTTAATTGTGATTCCCATTGTGAGACTGTTAATGGAAATCAACCTTTAATTGAGAGTGAATTTAAATCATCATCATCAACAACAACATCGCCATTGAATAAATCAACAACTTCTATTGGTGATATTACCTCAACAACAATGCCTCCAATTAGTAGTTCTCGTAAAAATGGAGTTAAAATAATTGATTATTCTGTTGATGATCAATCAAATGGAGGTGCTGATGATGGTGGGAAAATGTCCACATCAAAAGGATCAGAAATTGATAATCATAGTAATTTAAAATCGACCAGTGGAAAATCAACTCAACGAATAATCAATTACGAACCTTATAAAAGTGCCTCAACTATTGCTCTTGATATTGATTCCTCTTTAAGGCCTAGGTCACCTTCGCCCGTTAGTAAAACTGGACGACATTCTAGTGTTGATAGTGCCTCAAGGAAAGTTAATCCAACTACTGCCAATAACAATAATAACATAATTGTTACCAATTCAATTCGACCAGGATCGGTAGTGAGTGAGGAAATTATTGAAACTAAAACCGTTGAGAAAAAAAATCCTCTTCTCAGTGGAGTTAAGGTGATGTTTGGTGTTAAAGCCAAACGAGCGCCGACATTTCCAACTATGCCAAATCGATCTAAATCAGTTGATCGAACCAACAATTCAACAACAATCAAGCCAATAACAACAAACAAAACAACAGCGACCATTGTAAGACCAACATTTGCCTCCAGGACAACATCGTCCACCTTAAAGTCAAGAGATTCACCACAAACCAATTCTTCAACTCTACGATCTAGACAATCAGAATCAACTAATCAGCCTCTTAAATCATCGTTAACAACATCTCGTAATCCACCATTAACATCAAGCCTAAAGAAAACACAAGCACCAACACCAAGTAAAAATGTTCGTGATTTAAGCGCATCTCGTGTCACAACTAAATCGCCGCCATCGTTAGTGTCCAGTGAAATTAACAAATTGATGTCTACCGTGTCCACTACCAAAAAACAGCCATCGCCATCTACGACTCTGAATGACGAAGTGACCAGTAAAAAAGAAATGGACCTTAAAGGTGATGATTATGTTGATACCGTTGAAATGGCTCGTGAAAGGCCAGCTGATCGATCAACAGGTGATTTAACTCCTGTTTCTACCTGGAATTCAGGTCCAGTTTTAATTTCTAACGTGGCCAATAAAGAGACAAGTTCGTCTTACATTCCCGGCGAGGGTAAATTAATGGCTTCTTTTGAGGAAGGAACCAAAGTTTGGAAATCAAAATCTCGCCGTGTTTACGAGGAGCCAATAAAAATACCAAGAGAAACTTCAGTCTCTCCTGAAAGGCATGATTCAATTTCCCCTGAACGATTAACAGTCAAATCTAAATCTCCTGATAGACAATCATCTTCATCTCGTAACCAATCACCTGATCGACTTTATCGAAAACATCAAAGTCGTAAAGGGTCACCTACAAGAGATGAACAATTATCACAAAGTTCAATTGGAAAATCGCGTCTTCGATCAATTTCACCTGAACGACCATCATCATCGGCTGGTTATCGATCACAAATAAGACACAGATCACCTTCACCGATAATGATTGAGAGAAAATCTCCCGCCACAACACCGATAACCGTTGACATTGAGGAAGACGCAATTGACGGAGGAGGATTAAAGAAATCAAATCGAACTCGATTTTCGCCTACACATGAAACATTTTATCGATCATCATCTTCGATTAGTGATAATCACAAATCACTTCCAACTGCGGATGATTTGGACGAGAATTTCCTTCGTAAAGAAGTTTATCTCAATGACCGTGAACCAGATCATGTCGATCACGACGATTTAATTGTTGATTACACACCTAAAATGGAGGACAAGGCCTGTCAATGTAACCTTAAAAGGTCAAGTAAATATCGAGGAAAGGAGGAGACCGATTCACTTTGCGATTTAGGATATCGAGTGATTAAACCAGCGACCGATGGGTCAGTCTCAACGTTTTCCAATGTTCCTGATATTTCAGATGCTGAGACTGAAATTGATCGACAATCAAATAGACCAATGAGTCGAGATGGTTCACCAATTGTTGACCGTCGATCACCACAAACTAATCATCATCATCATCATCATCGCCCAGAAGTAATTTACAGTCAAATTGATCGAACCAAAAAGCGATCAACTAATCAATCATCACCATTACCACCAGATGATTATCTTGACCATCATAATCTTGACCAACCAGGTGAATATGGTCCAGATGATTATCTTTATGAATCTAATGCAATCAAATCAGCTCGATCATCGGTCTCACCAAGTAGAGGTGAAAACACAAGACGCTCAATGGAAACGTCCTCATATCGACATCAATCACCTTCGCCTTCACCAAGCCGTCGGTACATGTTTGAGATCGAGCGACAAAGTAAACCCGATTTACCTTCGCCATCACCAAGGCCTCCAAATAAAACTGTTTCCGTTGCTCATAAAACCTATGGGTTCAACATGAGAACTGCGTTAGAAGCTCCCGAAGTTCACCTTCCAACTCGACCTCCGTCAACGAAGCCCGTTCGAGTGATTGAAGCCCCTTATCACCATCACCAACCACAACAACACCATACCACCCACATGACGAATTAATGTCGCGATCAACGGGTGGACGATTAGAAAGAATGAGAGATGAAAATTTATCGGGCGATGAGTTGATTCATAATCGTCGAGGGAGTATTTCTGATCCCGATGATTTGATTGCACCAAAATCAATTATTCGTGAAATTGATCATCGAAAGGGGGAAATTAATTATGAAAATGTTACACCACGAAACCGTTCAACTGGAATTCGTGGGTCAATTTATGAAGATGGACAATCAACCAACAATTCCATGTGGTTTAGGTCACTCGAAGATGATTATCGAAAGGGTTTATCGGATCGGGAATCTTTCAACAATAATATTAATCATCATCCTCATCATCATCATGACCCATCGAACCATACAAATGTTACTGATTATTGTACCATGTCGAGGCGTGGCCGTGATAGGTTACCCTCATCTCGAGATGTGGGTGCTGATTATCATCCACCATCAACTATGACACACGCTTATACACTTGATAGAAGGCATCTTGACCGTGCACAAAGGTCAAAACGACCTGGACAAGGTTATTCAACTGCGGGATCACATTTAGGTATTTCATCACCATCAATGTCAATCAATGGTCACAATGGGTTGACCTCAAGTGCCAATAATAATTCACCATCAATGGCAATGAGAAAATACAATTCAACCCGTGACCTTTCACATCTTCATTCACAATCAGATTTTATTGATAATCATGGATCAACTCGAGGTGGTCTTGCAGCCGCTTATAAGGCTCGACAACGACGGGCATCATCATTAAGCCGATTTGGACAATCACCTAATGGTGGTTATCATTTACCTGGTTCACCTTCATCTAACCTTTACCCTCGAACAAGTCATTCAGTTTTATCTTCATCAAATTATCCTCTTCATTCAGGTTCACACAGTCAACTACATCGACTTCATTTAACTGGATCAGAAATTGGTGGTTATCATCCTCATCATTATCCATCTCATCATCATCCATTAAGATCATCAGCTTCACATATTGGTGCATCTTATGGTCACTCATCGTGTGAAAGTGACGCTGGACTTGGTTCTCACCAACGAACCATCAGCGGCTCTCGAAGTAGACTCAACCCAGCTCACCATCAGAACGATCCAGTGGTTCTTTATATTCCAGCAATTAGTCACCATAATCGACCAGTAGATGAAGATGATCGCAATTCAGCCCTTGGAATCGCTCGAACCCAATCAATCCTGTCAACCTCAAAACGAACTGGATTATCATCGAAAAATAAAAAACGTGATGAAAGTAAAGATCGTGATTCCAATTTCAATGAGATAACCAGTAAAGTTAATGGTTATCTGAATAACAACAATAATAATAAGAAAAATAATAATAGTGAAAAGAATCAGATTACATCAACTGGATTGATGAATGAAGGTGATGATGAGATAATTGAATTGCGAGATGATGAAGATGAAGATTCCAATAATAATAATAATAATAAAATGAATGGTAAAAAGAAAGATGTCAAACGAAGTGTCAGTATACCGAAAGATACTAAACTTCCTTGGCTACAAAAGCTTAAAATGAAAGTGAAAGCTTAATTTGATCATTTTATCAATTCGTTAATTATTTCCCATTGAAATAAATTCTATAAAAAATTAACCGTCATTAACCCACAAGGTAGCGTGGCCGAGCGGTCTAAGGCGCTGGTTTTAGGCACCAGTCAGAAATGGCGTGGGTTCGAATCCCACCGCTGCCAGAAACTCCTTTTGGTAAAAGGCTCAACATTTCTGTTCGTAAGCTCAACACTTTCCCTTGGAGCTTCTCCTTCTCGGCTTGGACTGTGGCGAATGAGGAAAATCAATTAAATTCAAAATTAATTTTTGTCTCTAATTGATTAAAAAAAGAAGAGCAATTTAATGGTAACCAATCAAATCCATAGAAAAAGGATCATTTTTCAATTGTGTTTCGAAATAGTCAAAAATTGAATTGATTGTGAAACATTTTTTCTGCGAACAAATTTAATTACTAAACCATCTACTCTAAATTTATATTAATTAATTGTATTTTCTACGTTTTAACAAGAATATTAAAAGAGAATTTAAATTGTCCTAATTGGTGAAAATTTGATTGTTGATCGTTGAACTTTTCGAAACTTTTTCGATATTCGAGCCTTGAACAGGTTTTTTGATTGTTTCATTTTGTTTTCTAATCTAGTTACTAACACAAATACTTTTTCGGTGATTTGTCTACAATTAATCAACAATCAATAAAAGAACTGGAACTTCATCATCAGGGGAAGTGATTATCTGATCAACTTGACTCGAAATTTAATTTAGTTTGAATCGTTTTAACTGGAGAGTTTAATGTTGTTGTTCATTTGGATATTTTGGTTGAACGTGAAAATTGTGGTTACCTTTTTTTATCCAAAAGTGTCACCTATTAATTAATTGATCAATTAGTTGATTAATTTTAAATAGAATTGGAATTTAATTTGTTTTCTTTATGAGCCACCAGTCGAAGCCGAGAATCAGCTTCGAGTGTTGAGCTTAGGGACAAACAGCTTTGGCTTTTTCTCTCCCTCTCAATTCTTTGTGTTGATGGTTGATTGTTTTTTATTGTGATTCTTTTTTTCTTTTAATTAATTTAATTGTTTCTTATTCAAATATGGAGGAAAGTGAAAGTCAGTCAACTTCTGAAAAATATATTGGAAATTCGGGTTCAGGTAAGTTTAATCTCTTCTAAATTGATGGTGTGCTTTTCATTTTCAATTTCAATTTCATTTCTTATGTTCAGTAGATTTCTAATGAATAGTTTTTTCTCTTTCTTTTTTTCTCTTTTTTTTCTCTTACCTTTTCTCTTTTTTTCTATTTTTTTGTTTCTTTTTTCTACACTTTCTGTTTGGTTACATCGTAGAAAATGAAGATATCGTGTTAGATATTGGGGATCATTCTCTTGTTAAACGGAATGACAACAATTGGCGTGAGTATTTTTCTCCATTTCTCTTTTTCTCTTTCTGGTTTGATTTCTTGTTCTTTGTGCTATTGTTTGTTTCTAATCTTTTGTATTTTTTTTTTGCTTCTATTTTTGCGTTTCACTTTCGTTTAGATGATTATGATGATTCTCAGGATAGTGGGACCACCGAGAATGAACAATCAGATTCTGGCCATTCCTCTAGACCTTTACGCGAACAAGACAGATACCTGCCTATAGCAAACATCGCTCGAATAATGAAAAGATCTATCCCAAAATCGGGTAAAATTGCCAAAGATGCTAAAGAGTGTATACAAGAATGTGTCTCAGAATTTATTAGCTTTATTACTAGTGAAGCAAGTGATCGGTGTCATCAAGAGAAACGTAAAACCATCAATGGAGAAGACATTTTATTTGCCATGTCAAGTCTTGGGTTCGACAATTATATTGAACCTTTGAAAGTGTATCTACAAAAGTATCGAGAGATGATGCCCAAAGTTAAATCGGAAAGTGATCTAACTAATATTGATTTGTATTAGCGAAAAAAAAAATAATAAAATTAAACTGAGTCTATACATTTAAACTCAGAAATAAATTGATTGTTTTATTTTTTTTTAATACAGATAAAACTTTTCTTTCAATTTGTTTAATTATGGACTTTAAATGTTGGAAGAAAATTTTCTTAGTGAATCAATTGGTGATGGAGATAATTTTTGTCTTGTAAATCTACAAATATACTTGATTATTAAGTAGATATTCATGATAATGGTAATTGTGACACACAAAACAAAAACTAACCAACTAGTTTTTTTTGTTGTTGTTGAATTGAGACTCTAATTTAATATTCTTTGAGGTGATGTAGACCATAATTGATCAAATTTTGAAAATGAGACCAACTCGATTTTATCTAATGAAAGATAATCATGTATTCCAGATTAAATGAAAATCTATCGTTCGGTGAAAATGGATCCTTTTCAAATTGAAGAAAAAAAAACTGGAACTATTTCAAATCATTTGACTAAACTGATGAGAGTCATTGATTGTCCAATAAAATGGAATACAGATTTGATTGAAGAAAATCAATCCTTTTTAAACTTGATATTCTTGGAATTAGAAGAGATTAATTGTTAGTGTGATTTTTTTGTTTCATGTTAGCGCTTGTACCTTGGTCACCAACATGTTTTCTCTTTCCTTCGATTATCACTCCAATTCAGTCCAAGCAAATGTCATGTCTTAAGCTTTTTTTGAATAGTTGAGTTATTTTTTTTTTGGTCTTTTCTGGTTTGTTGTTTGATTTCAAACGTTATTAATGTTTTCATTTCTTTTTGATAGCTTTTTTTGGTGGAATCCATCGAAGACAAGAAACGTCCACGGTTAACCTTTGCTTCTTGTATTGGGCACTTTTAAGATGCTCTTCAACCAGTTTAGATGTCACACAAATCACATGTTGACCTTTCCAGTATTTGACCATGTTCAATGATTGAAGAGTTGAAATGATGTCACTTTGAGTAATTGATGTCATCTGACTTAGATCACGAATAGATAAGGTACCACGAAAATCTCGAAGAATTTCCAATAATACAAAAGACCAGTAACTTCGATAACTTAATTTACCAAGATCAGAGAGCGGTTTTTCCGGTGATCCAATGACATTTTCTAATTTGGATACTTCATAACTGAAAGCGATTAAAAATTTTCCATATCCTTTCCGTTGATAAGGTGGTAAAGTCAAAATACAGGCCAAATTATTTCCATCAGGAGATTCTTTCTCTTTTGAAAAGTAACCCACCAAATGGGCTCCTTGATTGTCAACCTCACAAAGAATATAGAATAGGAAAGGTTCAACATCGAAAAAAAGTGTTTTATGATCGAGAAAAAGTTTAGCCAAAAGGCACAAATTTTGTGAATAAATTTTGTGCTCTTTTCCATCCACTTCGTAAACAGAAATTGTTCCTTTTCGGTAAATCTCTTTTCCGGGTGGTTGTCTCCAAACGCAGGTCGCTTGATGGTAACGATAAGTTTTCTCAAGTCTCATGTATTTAATACAATATTCACAGATCCATAATTTTGGTTGTTTACCATAATCTTCAGGGAATGGTGAAAAATACCATGCATCTATTTCATATTTTCCAAATTGAATTTTATCTACATATTTAACCTTGGTGATAGCTTCATGTTCCCGCTCTAAAGCAGCTGTGGTGGGATCCATTTCGGCGAATGTTTTTTGAACATGGTTGATTTCATCGTGTTTTCTTTTCTGATTACGAGTAATTTTTCTCTCTTGTTTACCATCATCGGTAATTTGTGGTGTTATAACAGCCGATTCTTTAGCAGCCCTCGCATCAGCTTCCGCTTTGGCACGACTTCCAGAGCTTATATCAACTCTATCACGGCCAACCCATTCATCAAGACGACGATTTAATCCCTCATAATGAACATAATACTCATAACGTCCTCCTTCTTGAGGATTTGATCGAACCTCAATCACCTCAGCAGAATCTGTAAAAGTAGAAAGCAAAAAAAAAATTAGTAACAAGAAAAATGGCACAACAATAAGAGATTAAGTCAGAGATCAAGAGAAAAAAAATACTCACGCCAAGTGTTGTCACTCCGTTTAACAAGAAAATGATCCCCAATGTCTAACACGATATCCTCATTTTCTACGTATTATGTGTGGAAACAGAGAAAGTGTAAAAAAGTAGCAGGGAAAAAAAGGAGGTAAGAGAAAGAAAAGAGAAAAAAGAAAGAGGAAAAAACCATTCATTAGAAATTCTATTCAACATTACATAAGAAAAAATGGAAATGAAAAGCACACCATCAATTTAGAAGAGATTAAACTTACCTGAACCCGAATTTCCAATATTATTTTCAGAAGTTGACTGACTTTCACTTTCCTCCATATTTGAATAAGAAACAATTAAATTAATTAAAAGAAAAAAAGAATCACAATAAAAAACAATCAACCATCAACACAAAGAATTGAGAGGGAGAGAAACAAAGAGTTTCTTTCAATTAGAAAAAAAGAGAAAAAGACACAACATAAAAAAGTTCTTTTCCAAACCACAAGATGGAGCCACTTTTCGATTTAGAAAAAAAAGAGAATTTAAATTCTATTCCAAATCTAATTGTTCCAAAAAGCATTTTAATCACTCATAAGTTACATCTTGGAAATTTCTCAATTGTGATCAATTCAATTTCTCTTAATTATGGAAAAGAGTAAATATCAAAGTCGACCAAAGGAATAACCAATTGTCTCGGTGATTAAATAATAGAAAATGAATTTGCTCTGTTAATAGTAATTATAAGCTATTTCTAGAGTGAGTCTCATTATCTTGCTGTTGATTGAATTACTCTTTTTGATGATAACTCTCTCTCTTTTTTTTGTTCCATCAGTCAGACTCAGTTAATTTCGCTATTTGTTTGTTGTTTTTTTACTCTGTTGATGTTTCCCTTTTACTCTCTCTCTCTCTTTCTCTTCATTCATTTATCTTCCTCTTTTCAATCTTTTTCTCCCACTCACATTTCTCTTTTTCTCTCCCTCCATTTGTAGGTAAAGATCGATAAATAAAAAAACATTCTTTCAAGACTCTGGCTGAATTGGACCTTTTGCAAGGTCAACTAACTAAATCCAATATCTATTTCGTGGTTATCCTTTTTATTGGTTTCTTATTTACGATTAGGTTAATTGTGACTGTTAAACGACCTCTTGTTACCATTATTATGCCTGTTCCATCATCTTCATATCGAAGTAATTACCGGGGAACCTCTGGTAGTGCATTTGGTTTTGGTTCTTCGTCATCTTCCTCATCCTCATCATCAACTATTTCTTCATCCTCATCCCTTTTATCAAATTCTATTGGTGCAAGTAAATCAAAACCTCCAATATCGTCAAATACTTTTCCATCATCGTACCGAAATTCTGGTTCCTTTGATTACACTTCACCTTCAATCTATTCAACTTATCGAGCCTCAGCTTCTAACCGATCACCATCTTCATCTTCATCATCTTCTTCATCATCTTCATCTTCTTTATCCTCTCTATCTACATCTTCTTATCATCATTCACCTTCTTCATATTTGACATCACTCTCATCATCATCTTCTTACTATCGACCCTCAAGTCTTTTATCATCTAATTCATCAGGTAAGCTTACAAACGCTAATCCACTTTTATTGTTCAATTCACCCACAACATAAAATAATCTAACCAATTCAAATTTAATTGATTGTTTGATAGTCTAATTGTTAATCAGCACATTACTTCTTGTTGTTTTGGTGATGAAAACCTTTTCGTCATTTTCAATCAATCATTTATACTTCAACAATTAAAATCCCTGAGATAATCTGTCAAGCCTGAAGATGAATTATTAATAGAATCTAAGTAATCAATGGTTGAGAAATGAAAAACACAAATAATCCAAAAAAATCAACCAGAAAATCAGTAATAATCATCACCGGAGTTAATTTTTTCTACGATTTGGTTTTTTTCTCTTCTCTCTCATTTTGTTTGGGTAACGAGAGAAAACCAGAAAACCCAAAATTGTGAAATTTCCAATTGTAACGGTATCATCAAGACCCACATTTAACTCAATCAACGTTAATTGTGTCTCCAAATTAATTCTTAATTGTGAGAAACCCGGTACATTAAACCAGTTCCAAGGTGTTTCCATGTATTCCCTGTAATTTCAAGAGTCTCTCCATTTATGTTCTGGTTACTCGTCTGATCATCTCTCTCTCTCTCTCTGTTTAATCATTCGGTTTGTTGTTTAATTATTAATCAACAGTTTAATCACACTACCTGATTATACACCAACTCAATTAAATCAAACAAGATCAACTGACTCATCATCATGATGGAAACAAAAAAATTACAATTGACCGGCAACATAAATTTATCATCTTTTTCCATAGTAACATTAATATTGCATTTCCCTCCTATTTTATTTTCCTTTGTCTTTAATCATTTTCTTTTCTACAATTTTTGTTTTGTTCTATTCTCTTTTACTATTTGTTCTATTCTATTCATGTGTTATATCCTCTTCTCTTCTTTCTCTCTGATCTTCTGATTCTTTTCTTTTTTAATAGATTCCTTTGTCATCTCTCAATCACTTTTTCCCTTTGACAATAAAATGAATAATATAATTGTCATAGGGAAAAGATGGGAAAGGGAAAGAAGAAAATTATTGGTGAGATATTATAATACCTTAGAATTAAAATAAAGAAGAAAAAAGAAATTCTTTTAGTATATTAAAAGGAAAGTTCAGAGAAGAAGATGAAGATGATAAGAAGAAGATGAAAAAAAGTGAGAAGAAAAATTTTTCTTCTCTCAAGGTCTCCCAAGGAGCCTTAAGCTTTTCTTTTCTTCTCTCTCAATACATTCTCTCTCCCTCCCTCTCTTTCTCTCTCTCTACATCTTCTTCATCGAATACCTGTGACTCTCTCTCTCTCTCTCTCTCTCTCTTCTTGTCTCTCCTTTCCTTTCTTTCTCTTCCTACCTGTCTCACCTACTCTCTCATAGTTTACATCAGTTAACCATGCAAACTTCATCATCTTATACCCGTGATTAATTTACCTTATATTTTATTCATCATAATGAGTTACCTGGTTTATATTGATTAGTGTACAAACACATTGATGGATAACTTCATTATAATCTTATTTTTCTTATTCCGATCATCTTATTCATCATCACCAATCAACTTTCATTTTGATTGACCATCAACTCAAAATAAACTGGTCATTCAAAACATATGATTAACATTAGTGTTTTCAAGCTTAATTGACAAACCATATCTTAATTTATTGTCAATTATTTTTGTTTCTCGTCATCTCCAAAACAACAACCAACATCTAATTTATTCCAAACAACAATTAAATTAATTGCTCTCTCTCCTCTCATCAACTAACATTTACAATTATGTCTGTTCTTTCATATCAATTATTTCCAGGATATTCATCATCACCCTGCACCGTAACACTAACCCGGTTCAACCATAGACGATCAAGTATTGATCAGAACGATGATGACACCGATTCCCTATCATCAACTAAAGTAAGTTCATCAACATCATTTTTTTTTTAATTAATACAATCAACAAATTGGATCATTATCATCTCTCTTTCTCTCTCTCTACATCTTCTTCATCGAATACCTGTGACTCTCTCTCTCTCTCTCTCTCTCTTCTTGTCTCTCCTTTCCTTTCTTTCTCTTCCTACCTGTCTCACCTACTCTCTCATAGTTTACATCAGTTAACCATGCAAACTTCATCATCTTATACCCGTGATTAATTTACCTTATATTTTATTCATCATAATGAGTTACCTGGTTTATATTGATTAGTGTACAAACACATTGATGGATAACTTCATTATAATCTTATTTTTCTTATTCCGATCATCTTATTCATCATCACCAATCAACTTTCATTTTGATTGACCATCAACTCAAAATAAACTGGTCATTCAAAACATATGATTAACATTAGTGTTTTCAAGCTTAATTGACAAACCATATCTTAATTTATTGTCAATTATTTTTGTTTCTCGTCATCTCCAAAACAACAACCAACATCTAATTTATTCCAAACAACAATTAAATTAATTGCTCTCTCTCCTCTCATCAACTAACATTTACAATTATGTCTGTTCTTTCATATCAATTATTTCCAGGATATTCATCATCACCCTGCACCGTAACACTAACCCGGTTCAACCATAGACGATCAAGTATTGATCAGAACGATGATGACACCGATTCCCTATCATCAACTAAAGTAAGTTCATCAACATCATTTTTTTTTTAATTAATACAATCAACAAATTGGATCATTATCATCTCTTTCTCTCTCTCTCCTTTTCCTCCATTCACCTTTTACAATTATTATTAATTGACTTCCCGTTCCTAATTGCAATTAAAAAAGTTAATCAACTTCAGACAATCATCAGTTAATTTAATTTCTCTCTCTTTCGTTCTCGATCATCACTTTTTTCAATCATTGATGTTTGACAAAAAAAAATCAACTTCAATATATCATAAGCCAAAATAATGTTAGAAATTAAGTGAGGCACTTAATAAATTGTGATGATATAACCTTTAATCTTAATTAAATTGTTGATTGTTGTTGATACATGATGAAAACTTGATTACTAATCTAATTGTCATTTTCTTTCTCTCTTTTTCATCCTCAGTCATCATCTTCAATATCTTACCTGTCACCTTTATCACGACGTAAAAAATATACTCTCAACGATACCATAATTCGGGTAATTATTGGACTTTTTTAAGCGAAATTGTTTACAATTAACTTTGGCAATTAATACGATTGTGTGACAACTCTTTAATTGTCTTACAACATTACGAAAACAAAATGATAACAATTTAATTTGTTTGTATTTTAATTGAATGAATGTTTTCTTTTTCATCTAACCTGTTGTATGTTTGATTGTTGATGATTTTACCAGTGTCTTTGAATTTAATCATTTGAGAAGATAATTAATTCGTTGCTTCATAATTAACATTTATCACTCGCTCACCAGTTAATTATGATTATCAATCACGTTATCTATCATTAGCATTCATTTGTGTTTAAATGCAAATAGACAATTAATTATGATACTAATTATAATTTAAAGTAAAAAACTTAATGGTTATTAATTGTTTTGGTTAATTTGATTATATTTATTATTATTATCAAATTCACTAATCAAATATTGATAATTGTAGTTTATCATATTCAAATGATTTAGTCTATCCTTGGATTGTAACAATTAATTGTAAGGTTAATCTTTATTCATATAATTTGTTGTTAATTTACTTAGAAATTGTTGAGCAATTTGATTCAATTAAAGCAACAATTAGCTGATTTGGTTAAGAGACAATTAAGCGTAATTTAATATTGAGTTTTATCTTAATTAAAACCTGTTAATCAGCAAATCATAATTAATAATCATAATAAGAATCATTGATTGAGTTTAACTGATTAGTGTATATTTTTAACTATTTCCATTGACTGATTATTGTTAGAAATTTATATAATTAGTTGATTACTTTTTGATTAATGTTTTTTTTCCAAATTAACTTTTCCCCTTTATTTTAATTGTTGTTCAAATTTTATCTTAATCATGAAAATATTGATCACCAACAAATCCTTATGGAAAATGAAATTAATTAACTAATCACTTACTTATTGTCAACCTTAACTAGGCTAACAGTTGATTGTTTCTAATTCATTTAATGTTTTAAATTATTTGATGATTAATTTAATCATGTTTCCGTCATGATCATGATGATAATCATCTTAATTTACTTGGATCACCACCGATAATGCTAATAATTAAATTGCAAATGGTTTTTAAACTTCAATCATAATCGCAATTTAATTTAATTGTAAATTAATAACAACTACAGTTTACTTCAAATGTTGAGTGCTGATAATGTAAAATTGATTGTTCACAATTTAAACTTAATTTGATTACAATGAACTGAAAATTATAACAATTAATAGATTATTGAAAACCTGATAATAAGGAAATTAATTTTTTTCCTCAACAATTTAGTGATAAATTTAATATTAATCAGCAACCTTGAATTGTTGATTATACACATTTTGATTAATCGTGAAGCTCATCCACTAGAAAACTATTGAAAATCAACAATTAATTTTAATTTTAACAATTGTTAATCTATCATTTACAATCAAATCTAAATTGTGTTGGGCATTGATTCCTGAATCTAAATCACATAATTTAATTGCAAGGGAAATATTTTTTTTCCTCTCAACTAAATCAACGTCATTCTCAAAATGATTAAAACCAAATCATGATTGTAATAATGATCAGTCTTCTTTAATAATCATAATTGTCACTATTGTGTCTACCTGTTAATTATTACGTCAATTAATTAATTATGCAAATGATTAGGCATTTTTTTACATGATTATGTTGATTGGTGCGTTGTCTATGTTAATGATGATCAAACAATTTATTGATTATTATTAATATAAAATTGTACTAATCAATTTGTCCTTGATTATATGAATGAACTTTCGTTTCAACCTCTCTTTCTCTGATAATCAAGTTAATTTGGTTAATCATTACTATTGATCAACCATTGATAAAGCCAATTTACCAATAATTCATGACAACAATCAACAATTAACAGTAACGAAGGTGTTGTTGATCAATTTGATGATTAACACGATGATAAAAAGTCACAATTTTCAATTGAGTCCTTTTTATTGCAATTGAAAACTTATTGATTGTTATCAATAAATAATCATCCAATTGTTTGAATTTGTACAATTAATTTAATAACAACAATCAATATGTAGTTATAAATAAATCATTTTCCTTTCTTGTGTAATCACAATTTGTTTCATCACTAGAAATTGATTGTTATCACAAGAAAAGGAGGAAAATTTTAATCATGAAAATTTAAAATTCAACTTGATCAAATAAACGAACCCTGTTAATTGAAACTTTTTAAATCAATCATTTCAATCGATACTTGATGATAACAATTAACTTTTTTAGTGGTTTATTTGATCACCAGTTTTATTGATTTAAACTCAAGGTTTTTAACCATAGGATTTCATGATAATTGTTTCAGTTGATTGTTGATACTTTGGCCAATCACTGGAATGTTGTTAAACCAGTTAGTTGTTATTGATTAGTTGATTGTCATAAAAAATTATTCACAATTCATGTAAATATTGATAGTAATATGTCTCACTGGTTGATCATGGTTGATACATACATGTAATTACATTTCTAAAACTTAATTGTGTTAATTTGATTCCTGATGAATTTGTTTTTGATAATTTAGCCTCCAGCATTTCACCTCAAGCCTTCCTCTTATGAACATTATTAAATGTTTGTGATTACCAGTTGAAGAGACTTCTAGTTGTAACCCAATGTATTTAATCAGCATTATGACTAATTTGATTACTGTTGATTGTTGTGTATTTTTGATTTCCATGTTGATTTAATTTTGTCAAGGTTTCCTGGTTAGTTTAATTGCAATTATTAGATATCAATCACAGAAATTTACCAGTTACAGTTGATTACCATAAGTTAATTGAAACAAAAACTTACTAATATTTGTATCATTGTTTTATTTTGTTTAATTGTAATTAAGAACTAAATTAATACACATTTCCTGTTTAATTATGATAAACCAAATGCTGCTACAAATTAATCATCATGATAGAGAAAAAGTTTTACTTGGTCTTTGTTTATATTAAGTGAAACTTGATTTACCTGTCATATTGATGAAACAAATTAATTGTTTGCTAATAACCATCATCATGGTGATGATTAGCCAATTAATTAACTCAATTAACACCCAAATTGTTTATTTAACACTTTGGACATGGTGTGTATATAAAAAATGAATTGAATTTAAACATTGAATGGATGCAGAAAACAAAACAAACTGATTAGTTTATTAAACAAATAGTAATTAATCAATTAGAAATGTTAATCAATTGAAATTGTTTCTTGTTGTTTATCAAGTTAATCTCTATCTTCCGCTACCCTGAATTCTAAGGCTACTGAATTGTAAGCCTTGAATTGAAATTTTCGTTGAAATTTTCCTACGTAAATATCGTAAATGTGAATAAGTTATTTCCATTGAAATTTTCTTCAACCAATTCAAGGTCTTTGGGTGAAAATATGTGAGTTCATTTAAATGACAAACTGAGGAAGGAAGATTAGGATGATAATGATGCTGATGGTGAGAGACTTGAACTTATTTCAAATGATATATTAAAGCGAGAGAGAGAGATAGAGAAAGAGGAAGGGAGAAAGGGAAAATAATGAATGAAAGAGAAGATGAATCAGCCTTGAATTGTTACTTTTATTATCAGAATCAAAAGGAAGCCATGATCATCCTCATCTTCATCTTTGTGACGATGTTATCAATGGTAAATTGAAGATACGCTGAAACAAATAATAGTAAAGGATACCAAAGATAATGAAGATGATGTATTGAAAGATACTTGGATGATGATGAGATTTTATCTTCTCTCTCTCTCTCTCCCAGTCTTTCTTTTCTTTGTATAATAACCTTCGATTTAAATACAATGTCAACTTACATCTAGTCGCGTGTTTTTTGCTTCTCATCGTCTTAATCATCAATTTTATAATAAATTATCAATATAATAATTTATTGGGACTAAATTATTATGATAATTTTGTTTCCATGAATTTCGTTTAGTTTTTTTTACTGAGAAATTCAATGTTAACCATAGACGAGATGAAATCATTGATATAATTTATTCTTAATTGTTAATTAATTACTTAATCGTTGCTTGTTTCAGTAATTGATCACGTTTCTTTATTTTCCCTTTAATCAAACTAATTAATCAATTATTTTGGTTACTGATAATTATCAGGCTAATCAATTAATTCAATTTGTTGGGGATAATAATTATTTTTTTCTCTCCAGTTAGGATTTGGTAATTTTCTTAGTCTACTAATTGTTGATTTGTCTAAAACAGATAGGATTAAATTTTGATTGATCGTCATGGGTTCTATCAATGTTTAATCAGTTACATGATTAAGGTGGAAGTAAAGTTAAACAATTAAAGGCAAATAATTATTAATCATTGGAAGGGGGGGTTATCAGGTTGGCCTAAAGTATTTGTAGTAACTAGTAGATTCATTAACTGGGACTTGATTAGCAGCAATTAATTGATTGGAAAGGTCGTTGATTGTGTTGATCAACAATTAACCTATCTCTTTGTCTGATGAAGGTTTAGATTGTAATACACCATCATAATTTGAGACAATTATCCATTATATTGATATCACTATCCTTACCCTTTGATCAGCAATTTAGTTAATTAATATGGAGTCACAATTAATATATATCTTTGTGTGTGTTTATTGATACACTTAAAGATTGGATTTAACATTTAGGTTAAGGTTAAACTCTATTGGAAGTAAATTTTGATAATTTCACTTGAATCACAAACAATAACCTAATCATTATCAACTATTAATGAATGATGATTGTGATTATTATCAACTTTTGATGATTTCAATTTCTTTCTTGGTATTTTCACCATAAATAAGTTATGATTAATACTTAATCACTAATATTATTTTTACTTTGATTATGATTAGAGAATCATCATCTCTTAAATTGTTGTACTTGACATAATTTATTAAAACAACTTCCTCACTTTCCTTTAATGGTTAATAACAATCCTAAATCATCAGCTAAATTAAATTAGATTAAGATATATTATTATTACCAACTGACCTCTAACCCTTTTTGTTGTTATTGGATTGTTATTGAATTTGCTGTAATAAAGATGATCATGCTTATGACCATGATTGTTGGTTGATGATTAAGGTTAATCATTGATAATCAACTTACATATAATTCAACTCATTCAATACTTAACTGTTGTTCTTATCAATTTCCCTCATGTAGAATCAAATTAATAGTTAATTATATTAACTAGTTAGTCTCTTGGTTTGACTTTTGCTGTGTCTTTGGGTTTTTAATTGTGATTTGATTATCATACCAATAAATCAGTTTTATTAGTTAACAATTTTCAATCATTCTCATCATTTAATCACTATAAAGTATCTAGAAAGCAATTAACTTACAAAACATTGTATCATTAACTGTAACAATTAACTTGATAATCTTTTCACTTAGATTGACAATTAAAAAAATTGTCATTTTAATTGGCATCTTTTAAATCACTTTCTCTTTAATCATATTGTTGACAATTTTAACTTTACAATTGGCATTGTTGTGTGAGAAAGTGAAAAACAACTGATTAACAACACAATCAAATTAAATCAATTTAATTTAGATGAAAAAATCAACTAAAATGTGTTTTAATATTTAAGCAAAAGTAAAGTCACCAATGGATCTCAATGGTATCTAATAGTAAGACAATTGAGACACAATTTGTTAATTGCCCTTTTCAATGATCGTTAAAACTCAACAATCAACTAATCATGTTTAATTAATTGTACAGAATCCATCAAACATTGCTGGTTTAACAAACCTTGGTAATACATGTTATATGAATGCGATATTACAATCACTTTATGCTAACGAGGGTTTCAGAAATTACGTAACAAAATCTCGTAGAGGATCATTAAATTTAGGTAAGCAATTTATTAATTATAATTTACCATAATAACATTAATTGTTTCCAGGTAATCAAAGTAAATATTTATCAATATTTCAAATATACTTTGTTACAAACAATCAATTGATTATCACCAAAGGAAATTCACTATATACTCACGTCGAGACTAGAGGAAAATCATTTAATCACTTCTCTTAATCATGAATCGTTTTTTTTAATCAACACAATTAATTAATCTTGTTTCTTTCTCTCTCCCATTTACCAGCATTGGGACAATTATTTGAAGAAATGATAAGTTCCAATAATACAAGTGTTAACCCGAGCAGTTTTCGAAGTGCGTTCACACGAATTCAGCCCAAATTTCGTGGATACGAGTGAGTCTTTCTTAATTGTCGAATGAAAAGAAACAATTAACACCATCAACGATTAACACTTAATTAGGATTTCATCAACTATATTTTTTAATGCTTCTAAATGTCAACCATTTAATCAGTTAATTAGTGTTATCAGCATCAATTTATTAATTACTTTTTTCGAGTCCAAATCAATATCCATCCACAAACTATTAACATCTCATGCTGATAATTATTGTTGATTTGGTTTCATTTTTTTCCATTTAGTTATTGATTTTGAATGTTGATATTTTTTTTGCTTCTATTTTTTTATATCACAATCAACTAATCATCATTATTAACCTGGATTGATTTGATTCTGTTTGCTTTTCTTACTCTATTTCTCAATTTTTGATTTGTTTTTGCTCCTTGATTATATCATTTTGATGTATTGATTTCCGGAATTTAATCTCTCTCCTCATTCAAACTTTTTTTCACCTAATTAGTTTGATTAGTTGATTAATTGTATTCGTATTTCATTTCGATGAAAAATAATGAATACAGTTAATTCCAGTTTACTAATTAATCTGATTTGTTTTACTTTCTCTCTACTAAACACTAAAACCATTTAATGCTAATCAACGACAAATTTTTATTTCCTCTCTTGTTTTTAGTTGATTTAATGTTTACTGATTTACTAATTGTCCCTGATCTTATTTATCTCTTTCAATAGGCAACAAGATGCACAAGAATTTTTTCAATACCTGATCAATGCCTTACATGATGAGGTTAACACGGGAAGTTTTGGCTCATCATCAACAAGAAACTGTAAAAGTCGTAAGTTATTATCTTGATTCTCATCCTCCATCTATATCCCTTAATCCTAATCTTCATCTTAATCTCCTCCTCCTCCTACTACTATTCTACTTGAAAGAAAATATTATTTTGGGAAAGTTATTTTCTTTTCTTTTTTTCATTTTCTATCTTTATGAACTATTTCTTTTGCTCACATCATTTTATCATTTCTCTCTCTCTCTTTATCATCTTGATGATTAGCTAAATCCTCTATGGAAGCATGGGAAAGATACAAAATGTTAGAGGACTCACCTTATGTTGACATGATCGCTGGTCAATTATCATCAACTGTTACCTGCTCCATTTGTAGTAATACATCAAACTGTTGGGATCCCTTTTGGGATTTATCCCTCCCACTGCCAAATAATGTGTAGGTTTAAACCGTTATTACCATAATCAATTTTATCCCATAACAATTAACAATTTTCTTTATCTTTATTATCACAATTTAGACGAGAAACTGATATTGAAAGATGTCTCAAAGAATTTACTACACTGGAAGAATTATCTAAAGACGAATTACCGGTAATTGTTTGATTATATTAAATTATTGTTCGTATTTGTTAATTATTTTCAGTTAATTTACTAATTAATCTAATCTTCTTTTAACAATTAGAAATGTGATCGATGTGATAAACCCACCAAATCAACTAAAAGATTGGGCATTGAAAAAGCCCCACAAGTACTTATTTTACGTAAGTTAATTTCTTTTGTATGATTAGTTAATTGTTGCTAATTATTTGCCATTTTATTTACAGATTTAAAACGTTTTTCTAACGATGGTTACAAATTAACTATGCCTCGAGTAATTGCCAATGAACGGATCGCCACCCGATCAAAATACTATTCACTTTCATCAATGGTTCTTCACCATGGTAACTCAATTAGATCAGGACATTATACTGCCTATTGTTTACATGGATCTAAATGGTTCCATTTTAATGATGACAGGTAACTATTAATATTAATATTTATTAATTGATAATAGTAATTGATTGTTGACTAATTGTTTTAATTTTCTCAACCTTAATATCAACAGAGTTACCGAGGCTAAAAATTTCAGTCCCAATGATGCTGAGGATGCTTATATTTTATTTTATGTTGAAAATTCGTGTTCATCTCGCCTTTAATTGTTAACTGATTGTTTCAATTTTATCAAATTATCTTTATGAATCATCATCATATATACACATCTTCATAATCATCAGCTGATTGATCATCGTCAACCGGATTAATTCAAACAACATATTCTCATCAACTTGACATCACAAATAATCAAAATTCAAACACACAAGCGACATGTCAACAATTAAATTAAATTGTTGTTATAATAATAATATACAATTATAATTATTTTGAAAAAATATTATATTTATCTTGGAAATTAACAAATTGTTCAACATCTCAAAATTGATTAATAATAATGTATTATTATCTTTAATTGTTGTCATATCAATTTTTAATTGTTCTGACACACTCATTATTAATAATCATTAATTAACAAAGTCACATTGTATTTAATTGGATGATCTTGTTAACTTTGATTACTTGATTCTGTTTTCTTGATCCCCTGTTAATTGTTAATCAACTTACAATGATGATAAAAAAGCAAATCAAATTAACCTTATTATGTTTATTTCAATTGATGATAAACGGTAATTATTGACAATCTTAATGGTTTCTATTTAACTCAGTCATATGAATAGAAACTTCAAACAATCAGTTAATTATTCAGTTACATTAACTTGCAGTATTACAATTTAATTGTAATTTTAATCATCAGGATTAATGGTTAATCATCTTTTGCTGATTAACTAATTCCTCTCGAAGATCAAAAATTGTAATTATAACACAATTAACTATCTTCATCCACATTTGACATTTAAATTAATTGCTAACAATTAATGCATATTAATTATACTAAAAGACTTGAAAGCACTGAAAAACTTTCGTCTAATTACAATTAACTGATTACGTCGATTTCTAATGAACTGAATTATCAACAAGATTAATTAATTCCAATCCAATCAACTTATTAAAAGAAACAAGAATTAGTTATAAGTTAAGTTAACCAGTGTAAATATCCATAAGTTATTAGTTAATTGTTTCTACTCATTGGTTACTCTTAATTGTTGAGACAAAATGGTTAATCGTAAAATCAGTGGATCAAGTGAGTTCCAAGCGACAACAAAATTAGACGCTGCAGCAGTTTTATCATCTGAATTAATTAAGTTAATTGGTTCGGTTGATCCATCGGAACGGCGACAAGTTGAATGTGACCTGCAAAGTTTTAAATTGTTATTCGGTCAATACATTGAGGAGACTCATTCGTCGGTATCAATTAACTGGGATCTAATTGAGTCCCCACCTCCTGAGGCCATTGTCGATTATGATGAATTGACCTCACCCACAGTCGATACTATTGCGTCTTATTTGTCCAAATTGGTAGTGGTCAAGTTGAACGGTGGCCTGGGAACCTCGATGGGCTGTGTTGGTCCGAAAAGTTTAATCGACGTGAGAAATGGACTGACCTTTCTCGATTTAACCGTTCAAAGTATCGAGCGATTGAATAAAAGGTATAATGTTGACGTTCCATTGGTACTAATGAATTCGTTCAACACCGATGATGACACAGAAAAAGTAGTTCGAAAATATCGAGGGTTTAAGGTTCGAATTTACACTTTTCTACAAAGTCGATTCCCTCGGTTGAACAAAGAGACACTTTTACCTGTGGCCACGACCATTGACGGAGACAATGAAGACTGGTACCCACCAGGTCATGGGGATTTCTATCAATCGTTCGCGAAATCTGGACTCTTATCGAATTTTCTTTCACAAGGTAATTAATCAATTGTAACTCTCAGTGGTTAACTTTTTGTGTTTCTACAGGTAAGGAATATGTTTTCGTATCAAACATTGATAATCTTGGAGCGACGGTGGACATTAATATATTGAAGTATTTACTGGACACTCCGAATGAACATCGACCTGGTTTCGTTATGGAAGTGACTGAGAAAAGTGCCGCCGATGTTAAAGGAGGAACACTAATTAAGTACGATGGTAAATTACGACTTCTTGAAATTGCTCAGGTTCCAAAAGCTCATGTTGATGAGTTTAAATCGGTGAAAAAGTTTAAAATTTTCAACACCAACAATTTGTGGATGTGTTTAAGGTCAATCGATAAGTTAATTACGACCCACGGAATCCATATGGAGATCATTGCCAATCCGAAACATTTGGACAATGGTCTGAATGTTATTCAATTGGAAACTGCAGCGGGTGCGGCGATGAAAAACTTTCAAAATGCTATTGGACTTAAGGTACCAAGAAGCCGATTCCTTCCGGTCAAGAAGACACAAGATCTGCTCTTGGTCATGTCCAACTTGTATTCCCTTGAACAAGGTTCATTGGTACTAAATCCCGCTCGATCCATCCCCTTGGCTCCACTCGTTAAATTGGGCGACGATCAGTTTGCTAAAGTTCGTGATTTTCTTACCCGATTCAAATCAATTCCCGATATACTTGAACTTAATCATCTAACTGTTTCCGGTGATGTCACTTTCGGCTCAAATGTGACCTTAAAAGGAACCGTTATTATAATTGCCAATCATGGGGATAGAATCGACATTCCCTCAGGCTCTGTTCTGGAAAATAAAATTATCTCTGGCAATTTAAGGATTTTAGATCATTGATTTGATTTAGATCTTAATTGTTAACCATAAAAGTTACTTTAATTTCCAATCAGAATTTTATTGAAATCAAGTCTTTTAATAAATCAAAACAAGATTAAAGGTTAAATTGTTTTTCATCTGATTAATGTTGAGGACAAGGTTGTGATTTGTTTACTATTGTGTTGATTTTTAATGAGTTATAATCATTTCAGATCAATGAATTTGATTAAATTATCATGATTATCAAGGTTAGCCTGAAATCTGGCTTGTTGATTGATGACATTGGTTTTGATTGTCCTAGAAATTCAAAGGATAAGGTTAAATCTGTAGATTACCACCAACAACATGGTTCTCATGACAATTAAGTGTATTAATTATAAAAACAAATTATTCTGATTTTTCAGTTGTCGATTTCACGATTACATGTGATGACAGAATATTTTTTTCACATTCAATTAATTTGGTAATTTGTTGACCACAAAGAGATAAGTTTTTTCTTTGTCCAGAGTTGGATAACTTTTAAGTAGTAATTGGCATCTGATTGCGATAAAATTAATGGCTTTAGTGGTCAGATCTTCAGGTAGATCGTTAAAAGATTTGGTTGGACAAGTGTCACTTTCGAGGAGCTTTTTATCCAGAACTGTTTTGTCCATGAGAAAAATTTTTACGTAATTAAGTAGATCTTCATCCAATCCAACGGATTTATGGTGCAAAGCGAAATAGCCTGAGGTTTGTAGGCCCATTTTAGAGCAAAGTCTCGAGCGAAGCTCGTACAGAGGGTCAACTTGACTTAATCCTAATCGAATGGACAGAAAATCGTATCGATTGTCAACTGGAATAAAACCATTGTTGATGAGAAATTCAGCATTCGTCCGTTTACCATAGAAAATGTTAATCTCTTCGTTAACGGCAAAGCTTTTCATTGAATAACAAAGTAATTTAGATTCGCTTGGATCATAATCAGTTGAAAATTTTCCATCACTATGATTACATAAATCCCACATTGGGATGAGTGCTGTTAAATTTGAAGGATTAAATCGGGAATCGGGTGCGGTAACTGACGGAGGTAACACTGGAATCTGATTTTGACGGGTCATCACAGTGGCCGTTGCCCAACGGTAAAGGTCAAGACAGAAAAGTCCTCGTAGTGAATCAATTTTACTGAAAGCTGAATTCTTGGTGGTAATTTTTTTCCAAAAATAGGCATACTGTCGATATATATTGCGAATAAGTTTAACGGCATCAACCAAAGCGGGTGAACCTTTCAATAAAATTATATCGTCTTTGGTATAATAAAGTGGGGTCAAGTATATCGATGGACAGAATAAGATATAAGGTTTCCAGAATGAGTCTTTGCGACAATATTCAACCATCAGGTGAAAAGATAACAATACATTTGGCATCGATTTGAGTAGAGAATCTTCTGAGGCCACAGTTGCAAGACAAGGGTCAATTAAAGCGCTTTCAGTGGTCATCATGATTTTCTTGGGAATTGAAAGAGTCAATTCATCTTCAGGAATTGGCTTTTTAGCAATTAATCCATATTCGTTTGTTGTTTTATCCACACAAGTTATGTCAATATCTTCATGAGAACAGTCATTGGATGAGAGCCAAGAGATGAAGTCTTTTAAATGATCATCTCTCCGGTGGGGCACAAATAAACCTAATAAGGTAACCGTTTAGGTTAACCGTTAAAGAGGAAAAGGAAATCAAAATTATTATCACGATCAATTGATGTTATGACTTTTGTTAAATTACGATTACAAACCCGATTCAATTTGTTGGATGTTTGTTGCAATCAAATTTAATTCGTTAAATTCTGTAATCAAGGCATCATGAATTGTTTCATTCCTTGTCGAGAATAGGAGACATTTTTCCATGAGTTCGTTGATTAAACCATTTCTTTGATTAATTGTTTTCTTTGACATCTTCATGATTGGTTAAACTTTGACAAGATTATCAATGGTAAAAGTATCAAGAGTCTAGTTTAAGGTGAGACGAAAATCCAACAGGTAACAAGTTTTATCACATCAAATCAACGATCCAAATTAAGAACAATTATCTGTATATTAAATCAACTGAATAATCACTGATCCATCAACGGGAAAATAACCTCGGGGTGTGTTTAGATTATGTTAACAAAGAGAATTGAAAAAAAACAAAAACAGAAAAAAAAAGAAAATGCTTTCAACGGTTAAGGTTTGACTGGAGAAATTTGTACTACGTTTGTCTTTAAATTGTTCCAATTAGATTCACCGAATACTATCAGACACTTAGATTGTTATGGTGACAGAAAATAATCAAATAATCACAGTTAATTGTGTTAATTTTTTAGATTTAAATAAAAAGAGTTAACAATTGAAATGATTAAAGTAAGATGGCAATTTGAGGTAACATGAAAATGGACCAAATTTGATGGAACTACATAAACAATCAATCAAACAAATGTCCTTGGTAATGGGTTAACACTGTAGACAATTAAGGAAACAATTATGGGAAAAAAATCAATGTATCAATCGTAATTAAATCAAGATAATTGTGATTAATTTTTCAACTCAACATCAAATTAACATGGAAATTTTTCGCTCGAAGCGACGCCTTTCGGTTCTATTTAAAAACAAAATTCTAATTTTTCAGCTTCAAGATTAATTAATTATCCTTGATTAATTAAGATTTTCTATCACAATGGACTTAAGTGCAACTTTTTCTCGTACATCCAGCGATCGAGACCATTAGTTATCTCCTTAATCAGTTGACCAAAATGTGAAAAGTGTAATCAAACTTTCAGATTTAAACTTTTGAATTTAATGTATGAAGATTGACCGGTTGGCGATAATTAAAGTAAACAATTAATTTTTTTGTTCCAATAGATTAATTAGTCTCTTAATTGAGTTCTCACTTCTAAGCCTTTAACGATACATATATTTCAATTGTTCTTTTGTATTAATTAGATCCAATTAGTTGGATGTATGGTTGTTACCTTGGTGGTGAATTATTGGTTTTTAAATTGTTTCAATTCAATGTGAATTAATATCAGGAAAAAATATTATCGAAGTTGATTTAATAATCTATTTTTTTTATTGTTTTGTGAAGTTGAAGTTATGAAAATTGTAACTTTTTCTTAATTCCATTTTGATCCTCACTTGGAAATTATTAGAACTTTTTTCCCTCCTAATGTCTCATGAGAGATAATCAATATGAAAGTGATGAGGATCATTAGACTGTGGTGAAAATGCCCTGAAGACATAATACCGAACAATCTGACTCATGTCAATTAATTTTTTGTTCACTTTGTAAATAAAAAGATCTTCGATTGATCTTATTGACATTCATATTCATTAATCGATGACAATAAGCAAATTCGATGATAGCTTCTAATTACTATAACCTGATGGATAAGGTTAACTTTTCAGTAACCAACACGAAACTAATTTGGTCTTTGTATTTACTGGTGATTGTGGATTATCCTCAACAATTAAAACTAATTACAAGTTGTTACTCTTTCAACTGTAACTTCAATATTTTCATTCAAGAAACAGACAAGATGAGAATCAATAAAAACAGGATAACAATTGAAAGTGAAAATCTGATCAATAATAATAGACTTTACTAATTGGCAACCAATCCAATCTCCCTGATTTATTGATTAACTAATTGTAAGTCCAATTCGTAGACACTTACTTTATTACACCTACCCCCGAGGTTAATGCTTTATACATTTCCATTGGACTTAGTCCAACTGCCCTAAGGCCCTGAGCTAACCGCCCAGTTTACATAAATTTTCAAATACAATTTAAAATCAGTTATTAAATAATTTGGTGGCTTCATTGGCTTGTCTTCATTTGGTTGGATGCATCTAATGGTGATAATCCTTTTTAGTTTTTGTTTGTTTGTTTGTTTTTTTTTTAAATATAAACACTTTAAATATTTTAATTTTAAATCAGAATTTTTTTAAATTGTGCTATTTTAAATCATGGGAAGAAATAGAGAGAGAGAGAAAATTAGTAAGATGTATTATGTGATACTAACCTTAGATGAGAGGTGGTTGTAGTTATTACGACGCAATAAGAATCTCAGTTTTAAGAGTAACGAGAAAACAACTAAAGTAACTGTCGCACTGTAATAATATTGGTGTCAATTTGATCATTGGAATAAGACAAACAATAATAACACAAAATTAAATTTTTAATTCACAGGTAAAGTTAATTAAATCAAAATTCATCAGGAGCAAAAAAAAGTTGAACTTTTCGCTATCTAGCGACATTTTCATCTTTTCCATCAATAGTAATAGATGGCTCTCTATGGAGTATCATCTTCATCATCTTCCTTTCATCATCCTCATCTTTTTTTGACATTAGAAAAAGAGAGATGAACAAATTGGATCCGAATCTTTATAAATTGAAATTTACTTTTCAAATAATCTAATCTCGACAATTCAATTGAAACAAAGTAAATTGCCTTTTGAAAAAGTGAGAATTAAATTAATGATTAATTATTAATCCAACAATTTGGATCCGGTTTGCGGAAAAGTGAATATCGATCGGAGTGGATCGGAAAGAAAAGATATTCTTTCAATTTTTCTCTTTCTTTTCTCTTTCTTTTATCCAAAGTTTAGATTCTAAGTACAAAGTATCCGATAAATGAGTTACTCTCAACCGATGTTTTCATTTTCATTTTCACTTGAGATCTTCAACCGATTAGTTAAACATGAATTCTAATTTTTGTTAACAATTAATCTAATCAATTTAATTTAATGTTCCACTTGTTCCCAGTGAGAATCATGTAATTTACTTAAAAGGGTTATAAATATATACAAATATTTATTTTTTCTTCTCTAATTAAAAGACATTTAATAGAGAAAAATCTTTTCTTTTTTCTGTGATTTTGTTTCTTTATTTTCTATTCTATTCTATTCTTTTTCTCTCTCTCACTTATTTTGTGCTTCTACGGTGATTTTATCTTATCTCACCTTTGCTTCCATTTAAAACACAAAATATACATCACAATTAGAGTCAACAATTAATTCTCTCACAATGGATATTGATCATCATCAACAATCTTCATCTTTCTCGCCCATTGTATATATTGCAACTTCTTTTGGTGCCAATGTAGTTGCTGTTAAGATCCTCTTTTCACTTTTATCTGGTAAGTTTTTCTTTTCTCATTTAAACATCTAATTTGTTACCTTCCTTTTGTCAATTTATTGATTTTCAATGTTAGTCAGACGTAATCGAAAAAACCTCTAATCCTCTTCAATATCTAATCTCTTGTTTATCCTTTTCTGATGATGTTTCTCATTTTCATATGTATAAACATCATCATCATTCTCGCAACACATGCACAAAATCAGACATCTTTTTTTGGGTTTTCTATCTCTCCCGATAATCTTATCACCAGAACAACAATTTATATTAATAGAATAGAACAAAAAAAACAGACTGGTAATCCATTTACCAAGATTTGCTTTTTCTACCAAATATAATAAACTAATCTTTCTCCTCTTCTTCTCTCTTGAATACTCGCCATCTTTAGGTTATCCACTGGCCATTATTTATAATTGTTTAATCGTCAATCGAAGTGAAGTGATAAAAAAATTGTTCTTCTCAGGAACTGGTCTGGCCTTGGGACTTTTCAATTATGGTCAGTTTACTATCCACTTAGTTGTTAATATTGACTGAACAAGACGATCATTAATATCTGGCAACTTTTAAATTGTAGCAAATGATTAGTATTCAATACATTTTGTCTTCTCCCTTTTGTTTTCCCATTTCTTACAGATCATCTCTTGTTAATCACAATCAAGACTCTCTTAACAATAGACTAATTTCATTGTGTTACCTTTTTTTCTGACAGAAAAAAGAACAGGTAACTAAGAATAGAATTTATAAATTGTTAGTTACCAATCAGGGAACAACTTACATGTAAACATTATCAAGAGTTAATTGTTGAAATTATGCTCACGCAGGTTAAATTCTGGTTTAGATCAGCAATTAACAAAAACCAATTATCGATCATTTTCTGTACTTCAACTAATCAAATCTATCTAAGGTTAACCTTGTTAATTACTAATATGTAATGATAACTATTCATGATTACGACTCATTGATTTTTCATCTCCCTTGTTATTTACATGAACATTTTTTTTTTGTTACAATTAATTGACTAATTTTTGATTAACTAATTTCAATTTATCTTATTCTTGTTTCCTTTTCTCTAGGGTTATTTATTAGCTGGTTATTTTATTACACAAATCAAATCAAATGAATATAGCTTCGAATGGACTATTCCACAGTGTGTTTTAACCCTCCTGCAATTCAATATGATTCTTTGATTAGAATTGAAAATGATTAATAAGTAATATTAAACATCTTGGTAAAGAGATCCACTGTTTCATATGGTTAAAGTTTATGTAAGTTTTATGCAACTTTATCATTTGTTTGAATACGAAATGAATTCAATTAGTATTAATTGTAAAGGACAAATTAATCTGGAAAAAGGATACAAAGTTTCAAAGGTGCTGAAGATTAATGAATTAATTGATTAGGTAAGACAAAGGAAACAAAGTTAATCATATTAATTAGATGATGATTAATAACAAAATAGTGAAATTGGAACTCCCTGTATCGTTAAGTAACAATTATATACGTTTTAATTACACAAACGAAACTTGCGTACCATTTGATATTCTCACCATATTAATTATTATCTCACCAAGATAATTAACCAATGATGATAAACTTTTTTTGTCCTTAATACACTGAGCACTCAACTAATTAGTGTCCTTTTTATATTTATAGTGATAGTTATTTACTTAAACTTATTGCTATTGCTCGTAATTAGTGAACTCACCTTAATCCATGGTATCAGTGTTTATATTCAATCGTTGAACATTCAACTAGATCACTAGATCAGTTTAGTTTGATCGCGGATTTTACAAGAAATATTTTATAGCTTCATCCATTTATTATATCAATTGACTTTTTAATTTCTAATTGTTACACAGCAACAGAAACTGCGGAAAGTCAAACTGTTCCATTGACAGTCTTGGGTTCATCAAGGTTACTTTAATCATTTTGATTAAGTTCGTTCTTTGTTGAACTTTTCTTCTTTGGATCTTTTCATTTGGAATCAACCATTTTCATGATGGTTCCTGACACAGCCTCATTGCGTTCGTACGTGCCCTCTTCTAGACCCGACAAACCAATTTCGTGCCTTGTATGTTCAGACAAATCTTTTGGAAATAATTTTGGTGCCATAACCTGTGAATCTTGTAAGGCCTTTTTCAGGAGAACGGCAAATGAACGTGATGTAAGTACCTTTGTAATGCACTTTTAGTCTTCGGTACTCTTTTAATCCTTTAACTGTTTCCCTACTAGAAGCTGGCTTGTCCATTCAACGATAACTGTGAAATTACAATCGCAACTCGCAAACATTGTCGCAAATGTAGACTAGAGAAATGTTTTGCTGTTGGAATGATAAAAGAATGGATTCAATCTGAAGAGCAGTTGAAAATTCGACGAGCGATTTTAAAAGAACGTAAACTTCGGCGAGAAATGGGTACAAGTGGACAATCGACTAAAAGGTTCAAAACAAACCCACCGATTGGAACAGGAGGTGGAAGTGGTGCTATAAACAGTGTCGGAGGAAGTTCAATTAGTGGAAATAGTAATAGTAGTTCCAACGCTGGAACTAATCATGAAAGGCGAAGCTCAAATTGGCCAAGCACTAATGTTAATGGACAGAGTTTAGATGGATCAAGGGTCAATAGGCAATGGCAATCAACTACTTCAACTCCAATAAACATAAATACAAATGATAAACCGATTGATAATAATAATAGGCAATCAGTAGCTCAATTTTTTCACAAGATTTCTGATCAGAACTTTTTTGCTCATCTTGTGAAGGCAAATGAAACTCCTACAAGAAGTTCGATCTCACGTAATTCAGCTCAATCAAGTCCATTACAAAGATCATCTGTTATCACTTTTACAGGTAAATCATCAGCTTCTTCATCTCCTTCTCTCTCAATTACTTCATCTCCAGAGCGATCAAGTCAAGATGTTTGTGCTTTAGACAGCAAAGGTGCTAATGATGTATCAATGAAAGTAAATTCGTTGACTATCAACAGTTATGATCCAGATTGTTTGCCAGTTTACCAGAATTTAGTCAAGAAGCAACAACCAAAACCATTGTGTTCACATGTAACATTATCTTCATCTTCATCAGCCTCATCATCAACAACTACCAAACCAATATCACCATTCTCAGTCAACACACCAGAAATAGAACCAATTAAAAAATCAACAGAATCACCACTTTTATCATCATCATCGTCGTCAATTCAAAATCAAATGAAAACACCTGAACCAAGTCTATGTAAACAAATGAAATACTGGGTAACTGAAGAGATTGATAAAAAAATTGATAACTTTGTAAAACCAACTAGACTAACCTTACCATCTACATCCACCTCATCATCATTATCATCTTCACAATCGGAATCATCTAAAGCAGTTAGTTTGAATGTTTTCCATCATATAATTGACTCTTATTTCACTCGAATCAACATGAGAAACGAAAAGCACATGGCAACATTAGCGCTGAACTCAATGGAAGAGACTCGACTAATAGAACTTACCTTGGCCTATGGAGTTTTTAACGAACCTTTGGCTTGCCCAATTACTACTGCAGAAAGTTTGATTGATGATTGTTACAATGTTTCGGTCGGTTATTTACTCTCCATGACCAAGAAGTTAACCGCATACGCTGAGCTTCCCGTCGAAGATCAAATGAAATTAATTCGAGGTACTTATGCCGATATAGTGGCGATGAGAGGCATCTTCTTATTTGATGTAGAAAATTTACTTTGGCCGGTAAGTAAACTAGTGAAGTTCAATTGATTATCTTGATTACGGGATAACAAAGAAACAAAAGTGATTAAAATCCTCAACCAGAAATCCCATGATAACAAATCACTGATAAGCTTTATCGAAATCATTTGACCTTTTTACCTTTTTGCTCTTTCTACATCTTTCGACTGCAATTATTAATACTTAACCATAGAAACTAGTGCAATTATGAACGCCGTCTATTACCTGTTAGAGATTATTCAAAGAGTGAAGGAGCTCATTAATCTTTGTGGTGAGACAATTTTACAATGGCAAATTATCTCTCATTAAATTATGTAATGAACATGAAAAACATGAACAATTGAGTTATATCTTATATTAACAGCAGATTTTGATAATTGAATAGCTAATATTAAAAATTAAGGTCATCAAATCTTTGTATTCGACTGCGAAAGTTCAAACTTCGATCAAACTTAGAGAGAACTTGTGAGAAAATTCATCATTATAATAATAATTTATTGAAAATTATAGATAAAAGGAACCAAAATGACAATTAAATACGAAGACATAGAGCGATTTGACAAATCGTTTTACGAGGATTATCTTGAGTTTGCGACAACTCTTGATCCAATTTGGAGAAACAATTTAATCATCAACCAACTCATTATTGTTATAATGCTGTTCAATAGTAACCTACCAAATCTCAAGTCACCGGAGGCAATAAGGTAATGATAGTCTATTTTATAGAAAAAGCCTTTAATTTTTTCGCTCATTATTTTCAATAGATTGGAGTACTGTGCTTACATATATTTACTTCAACGTTATTTGGAATCAAGTCTTAATTTTAGTGATCAACCAAAGGAAACTCTTTGCCATATTCTTGGTAAAATTAACCGAATGCAGTCAATCAATGGCAATTTAGTTCGACTATCAATCAAGGATCAACCTCTAGCTGATATTAAAATTGTCAGTTCATCTTCACTTCTTACTCCAGATTGAAAAATTAAAATGCTGATCAGATCAGATTAGCGCCATTTTCTATTGATTTAATTGTTAATCGGATAAATTATAGATAGATCATTTGTTTCATTCCAAATAATCTATTCAATATTTTATATAATTACGTTGAAATAAATAATGCTTAAATCGATAACAAATTAGACTGTTTATGAAATGGCAATTTAATTGTTCTTTTGTATTAATTAGATCCAATTAGTTGGATGTATGGTTGTTACTTTGGTGGTGAATTATTGGTTTTTAAATTGTTTCAATTCTATGTGAATTAATATCAGGAAAAAAAAGTTAAATATTATCAAAGTTGATTTAATAATCTATTGGTTTTTGTACTGTTTTGTGAAGTTGAAGTTATGAAAATTGTAACTTTTTCTTAATTCCATTTTGATCCTCACTTGGAAATTATTAGAACTTTTTTCCCTCCTAATGTCTCATGAGATAATCAATATGAAAGTGATGAGGATCATTAGACTGTGGTGAAAATGCCCTGAAGACATAATACCGAACAATCTGACTCATGTCAATTAATTTTTTGTTCACTTTGTAAATAAAAAGATCTTCGATTGATCTTATTGATATTCATTAATCGATGACAATAAGCAGATTCGATGAAAACTTCTAATTACTATAACCTGATGGATAAGGTTAACTTTTCAGCCACAAATACGAAACTAATTTGGTCTAATTACTGGTGATTGTGGAATATCCCCAAAAATCAAACTAATTACAAGTTGTTACTCTTTCAACTGCAACTACGATATTTCATTCAAGAAACAGACAAGATGAGAATCAATAAAAACAGGATAACAATTGAAAGTGAAAATCTGATCAATAATAATAGACTTTACTAATTGGCAACCAATCCAATCTCCCTGATTTATTGATTAACTAATTGTAAGTCCAATTCGTAGACATTTTCATCTTTTCCATCAATAGTAATAGATGGCTCTCTATGGAGTATCATCTTCATCATCTTCCTTTCATCATCCTCATCTTTTTTTGACATTAGAAAAAGAGAGATGAACAAATTGGATCCGAATCTTTATAAATTGAAATTTACTTTTCAAATAATCTAATCTCGACAATTCAATTGAAACAAAGTAAATTGCCTTTTGAAAAAGTGAGAATTAAATTAATGATTAATTATTAATCCAACAATTTGGATCCGGTTTGCGGAAAAGTGAATATCGATCGGAGTGGATCGGAAAGAAAAGATATTCTTTCAATTTTTCTCTTTCTTTTCTCTTTCTTTTATCCAAAGTTTAGATTCTAAGTACAAAGTATCCGATAAATGAGTTACTCTCAACCGATGTTTTCATTTTCATTTTCACTTGAGATCTTCAACCGATTAGTTAAACATGAATTCTAATTTTTGTTAACAATTAATCTAATCAATTTAATTTAATGTTCCACTTGTTCCCAGTGAGAATCATGTAATTTACTTAAAAGGGTTATAAATATATACAAATATTTATTTTTTTTCTTCTCTAATTAAAAGACACATTTAATAGAGAAAAAAATCTTTTCTTTTTTTTCTGTGATTTTGTTTCTTTATTTTCTATTCTATTCTATTCTTTTTTTTCTCTCTCTCTCACTTATTTTGTGCTTCTACGGTGATTTTATCTTATCTCACCTTTGCTTCCATTTAAAACACAAAATATACATCACAATTAGAGTCAACAATTAATTCTCTCACAATGGATATTGATCATCATCAACAATCTTCATCTTTCTCGCCCATTGTATATATTGCAACTTTTGGTGCCAATGTAGTTGCTGTTAAGATCCTCTTTTCACTTTTATCTGGTAAGTTTTCTTTCTCATTTAAACATCTAATTTGTTACCTTCCTTTTGTCAATTTATTGATTTTCAATGTTAGTCAGACGTAATCGAAAAACCTCTAATCCTCTTCAATATCTAATCTCTTGTTTATCCTTTTCTGATGATGTTTCTCATTTTCATATGTATAAACATCATCATCATTCTCGCAACACATGCACAAAATCAGACATCTTTTTGGGTTTCTATCTCCCGATAATCTTATCACCAGAACAACAATTTATATTAATAGAATAGAACAAAAAAAACAGACTGGTAATCCATTTACCAAGATTTGCTTTTTCTACCAAATATAATAAACTAATCTTTCTCCTCTTCTTCTCTCTTGAATACTCGCCATCTTTAGGTTATCCACTGGCCATTATTTATAATTGTTTAATCGTCAATCGAAGTGAAGTGATAAAAAAATTGTTCTTCTCAGGAACTGGTCTGGCCTTGGGACTTTTCAATTATGGTCAGTTTACTATCCACTAGCTATCAAAGCTTTTATATTCCACCAGAGATTCAGATTTTCTGGTTTCTTTTTGATAGAGAGAAAGAAAACTGGAAATACATCCATCTTTTTTTCTTAGACCATCATCATCATCATCTTTCATCCTCTGTCATCAACATCACTTCTTTTCAAATGGGATGATAGAGAGAAAATCATAACATTTTTCTCAGTAAACACAACAAACATTAATCTAAAAAAAGATGGATCCATTTGATTATTAACCTTGATCAATATTGATAATAACCTTACACCATTTGAGAAAATTATCCCAAATGTTAAATCGATTCACCTAACACTGCAAATATTTTCTTTTCTCTATTTTATCATTTATTTTTCTTCTTTTTCTCTTTTGATTTTCTCCTCATCATCATCTCTCTCTCTCTCTCTCTCTCTTCCTTTGTAGGCTATGATTTTTTCCATACAACTATCACAATCTTCACCATGTATTTTGTTCTTAAATGGTTTGGTGGGACTAAATTTTCTGTAACATTTGCGTTTCTTTTTAATTTGGTATGTTACCTATTCCATATGATACCCGAAAGCAAAGCTCACACTTATTGCAATTTGATACTTTTATATTTTCACCTTGATTATTGATTCCCCCTGATGGTTAATTGTCCTACTATTTCCTGTTAAAACAGAATGTAACAATTTCTATTATTGATTAGTTGTTAATATTGACTGAACAAGACGATCATTAATATCTGGCAACTTTTAAATTGTAAAAGCAAATGATTAGCATTCAATACATTTTGTCTTCTCCCTTTTGTTTTCCCATTTCTTACAGATCATTTCTTGTTAATCACAATCAAGACTCTCTTAACAATAGACTAATTTCATTGTGTTACCTTTTTTTTCTGACAGAAAAAAGAACAGGTAACTAAGAATAGAATTTATAAATTGTTAGTTACCAATCAGGGAACAACTTACATGTAAACATTGTCAAGAGTTAATTGTTGAAGTTATGCTCACGCAGGTTAAATTCTGGTTTAGATCAGCAATTAACAAAAACCAATTATCGATCATTTTCTGTACTTCAACTAATCAAATCTATCTAAGGTTAACCTTGTTAATTACTAATATGTAATGATAACTATTCATGATTACGACTCATTGATTTTTCATCTCCCTTGTTATTTACATGAACATTTTTTTTTGTTACAATTAATTGACTAATTTTTGATTAACTAATTTCAATTTATCTTATTCTTGTTTCCTTTTCTCTAGGGTTATTTATTAGCTGGTTATTTTATTACACAAATCAAATCAAATGAATATAGTTTCGAATGGACTATTCCACAGTGTGTTTTAACCCTCCGGCTAATTGCGATCGCTTTTGACCTTTACGATGGTAAACGAATCGCGGCTAAAGTTATAGTCGATGGCGAACCAATTAAAAATGAAACACCGATAACTGAGGCTCCTGAAATTCTTGAACTTTTCGCATGTTGTTATCTTCCCTTTTCGTTTATGGTTGGACCACAATTTGAGTATAAAAAATTCCAGCAATTTCTCAAAGAGAAAGATAATGTTCTACCTGCATGGTAATTGTTTAATAACGATGATCAGTTAATCTGTTAATTGTTATTCCAAAATTATTCTAATTCTTTTCCTTCCCAGTGCATCACAAGCGAGTATTAAACTTGGACTTGGACTTTTATATTTAATTTGCTTTCTTGCTGGAGAGAAATATTTCCCTCCATCACTTTTGCTATCAGATTATTATAAAGTAAGTAAATCATCATTATAACTGGTTCTGCTCAATTGTGTTAATTGTGATCATTTAATCAGATTTTAAAGAGGGAAACTTAATAATCAACAAACAATTTGACCTTTTCCATCTTCTCTATTATTCAAAGGCCTTTAAGGTTTACACCCTTGTCTTCAATCACTCATCGTTGATATGAAATTATTATTAACCTCCAATCTAAACTGTTGAACTATTATTATTGTTGTGACCACACCTAAATCAAGTGAGAGAGAAAGAAGAATAGATTGTTTTTTTATTCTAAATTCTAACTTTGGTTCCTTTTTTATCTTGATGGAGTTTTCTTGCTTCTTAATTCCTATACAAACTCCTGGAATCATGGATAGTTCATGAAAAGAAATTCATTTTATCAACTCAATGATAATTTATATTAATACTTTTCTTTTTTCTTTTTTCATTCAGACCTCAGGATTTTTCATGAGCTTCACTTTAATTACTTTAACTACGAAGATACAAACATGCAAATATATTGGAATTTGGCTTCTCGCTGTAAGTCAATCATGATTACTATTGATTTTCCCTGATAATCAAACATTAATCATTTTTTTTCATTTGTCTTTTAGGAGGGAAGTCTAATAATGTCTGGATTCACTTTCGTCAAGTCAAATTCAACATTCAGAAGCTATTGTAATGCAGATCCGTATCTTTTTGAAACCTCTCCAAATTTTACTGGACTAATCAAAGCCTTTAATATAACTACTAACCAATGGTCAGGAAAATATGTTTTCAAGAGATTGAAATTCTTAGGGAATCGGATTATCAGTCATGCTGCAACTCTCATGTTCTTGGCTGTTTGGCATGGATGGAAATCTGGTTATTATGTTACCTTTGGAATGGAGTTTCTGATCATGAAAATGGAGTGGGAGGTAAGATGATTAAACAAGAAAATGAACTAATCGGATGATTACAATTAGCCAATCAATTTTACCAAATAGACATTGATCAATAATCATTGGTAGTTTAATTAACCGTGAAAAAGTTTCAACCATTAACAATTGATCGGTGACATTGCTTTCTAAAGCTATTATTTTTCTCTACTTTTGATTTACAATTAATTTTGATTGTTCATCAATAAAATTTTCTTTGTCGTTGTATAATGATTGGTTAGATTCATCAATAATCCGTTTATTGTTGATTCTATTTAACTTAATAGCCTTTTTATTGTGACTGTTCCAAACAATTTCACTCACATTAATTCATTTATCATGCAAACTATCGTGTTAATATTACATATTTTCAATAAGATTGATCAGAAATCAACCAAACAATGGCTTCTCATGTAATCCAATTCTATAAAATGATTAGCGTCTTAATCAATTTCTCCCTGTTTCTATGTATTAACCTTTTTTTTGTTTCTCTATCTTTTAGGTGATGGCAATAATTAAGAATTTACGACAATCAAATAAGTCTCTGGACAATTTGCTAAATCAAAGTTACATTCGTTTACCAATATTAATCTTTCTTCATATTTACACCGTTTACATGTTCGGATATTGTCTCGCTTCATTTACTCTGTTAACATACAAGCGATGGGTTCCCGTTCTGAAGCACGTCTATTTTTCAGGTCACTTATTTTACATATCATGGATACTTATTTCACCCTGGGTCCATAAAATGGTTCTTCCTGAACGCCGTTCATCAAGCCGATCGTCGATTTCATCTTCATCTTCATCATCATTATCATCAACATCTACAACTTCGCTACCATCTTCATTGTCCCAATCAAAACCATCAGAAATTACTAATAATTTGCCAACCCAACAATTGTTATCTGATGAATCGAAAACAAATCTGATTAACCAGATATGTATAATTTATTATAATTATTACAACAATAATTATATTACATTATTGATCTCTCTCTCCTCTCTCCTCTCTCATCCTCTTCATACATATATACAATGTAAAACCGGAGATAATTAATCATCTTCTAAAACTAATTGGGTTGAAATCTTTGTCTATTATATCATCATTCAAATTAATTGTTTCCAATCCAATATCAAACTGTAAATTAATTGAACAACAATTTTGGTGATGATAATGATGAAACATTTTGTGATCCTGGGGATGATTATATTACAATGACAAATTTCATTTGACAACTTAATTGGAACCATCTACAAATTCATTATATCGACAATTAAGGATCAAATTTAATTGAATTACTCTTTCTGTCTTCTATCAATAATAATGATACAAATTCCTCTTCCCTAATGCACTTTACACTAAATTGTTTCAATATTCACAATTTAAATCAAAACAACAACAACAAAACTAATAGATGAGAAAACGAAACAAGAAATGACACCAAATGTTAATTGCTTAAGAATAAATTAAAATATTTAACTAAACCTTTTCTTTCTTTATTACCTATACATGTAGCTGTTAAGAGAATGGCCCAAATATTAATTGTAAAAATTAGAAAAAAACTCTAATCACAATTAATTCTAATTTCAAACACTTAACTTAATCTCCACTCAAGTGATCGGTTTAAACAAAACACTTTCTCTCTTCTGAGGTCATAGAAAACGACCATTAGATCAAGGTGACCAGTTAAACGAAACAATTATCTCTCTCCTCATCGAATTGTTGAAACTCGTAAACTCTAATTACAATTAGGAAACTAATTGTTTCGAAAATAATTAAATTCAAAATTTCGAATATCAGATTAGTTTAGTTTCTATCCGATAGATGGCGACAAAATTTGGAATTTTTTGTAACTGATTCATTCGCACAATAACAAAGCCTTCAATTAATTTACACTTTTCTAGTTTAATTAATATTTTCTTGTGTGGAATCTTTAATTTAATTAAGATTGTATTGTTTAATTAGTGATCTTCTGATTGTAAACTTGACATTATCTATGGTTTGATTAATCTGTGGAAGAAAAGAAGAGTCAATGTTTTACTGGATGGTTTCTCCTTTCAGTGTTTCCTTTCAGCTTTTTTTTTTGTTTACTTGTAATAGAATAGCTCTGATATTAATTTGTTAATCATAATTACATTTATCAATAATTATTTATATCAGTGAACTGCATCTTTACTTGAAGACTTTTCTTCTCATTTTTCTTTTTATCTTTTTAGCTCGTCTGTCTGTGTATCTGTGTACCTGCATCATTTAACTCTTTCAATCACAATGGTTGATGATCGTTGGGGCAGTAGTAATGATCTTGTTATAAAAGAAGAGACTTTACCAACATCTTCTTTAATTGCTGCCAGTTCAACTTCAACATCTTTAACCAACAATAACAGTAATGGAACTAAACAATTACCCGTACCACAGAATAGAATTCCTAAAATTGTAAAATCTGCTATTGAAACATCTTCCATTCCAAAGGAGCAAGATATTCAAGATAGAGAAAAGCTGAGAAGTCAACTAACCTCTTTACAAGCTTTATTGGAGAAAACATCAAAAAAAGGTGGTGATATATTGAGAAGTTACAAAGGACGCGATTTGAATCAGCATCCCTCTTATGCAGAGAATTTGAAACTTCAACAAGATGTTGAAAAAAGAATCGAAGAAGTTAAAGGAAAACTATTCGAAATCTCCAAAAGAATCGGTAGTGCTAATAAAGAGGTGAAGAATACTGAAGATGCAGAGACGAATCAAGAGCCTGTTGATGTTGCCATAAAATCTTTCGCCGGTGTCCCAATTTACGAGGACGATGATATTAGTGATAAAAACTTCATCGACCCTGGAATGCATTGGTGTAAACAATGTGATATATTCATCAGTGATCTTCCTGCATACCTCAAGCATCTTACAACTGAAAAACATTGGAAAGTTAGTGAAAGTAAAGAAGAACCTTGGAGGAGAACCGATAATAGACCAAAAATAGAAGTTGATCCAGCAAAGAAAAGAGATACTGATATTCTAGGTAGATTAATAATTCTCTCATTTTAATCACTCGAAAACCTGATACCTAAATTTCACCCGAACATTGTTTCTAATCTATACCATTTACTTTCTATTCTATAACAATCATATAAAACTTTTAGGTGTCCATACTTTGATCGCAATTCGTGGTTACTTTTGTCAAGTATGTGGTATACTTCTTGGGAGCCCATCACATGCCGAAGATCATCTTAAAACAAATACGCATTATCGATGCTACAATGTAAGTATAAGTAAAAGATCAGCTGATCAATTATTCAAAATGTCTTTTTGTTTATATTCTATTTACTCTTACTAATCTTCTTATCTTTTTTTATTTGTTTCTTTCCTTTCCTTTTTCAGAGGCAAAAATTGATGAATAGTCGACATGAGTATAACTATTCTATTGATAAATCAAGAGCTTTAACTAAATTCCAAAGTCAAGAAAGAAAACGCCAAAAAGAACAGGAGGAAAAAGAAGAAAGAGAAAAGGAAGCAAAAAGACGAGCCACAGAATTAGAGATGAAGAAAAGGATTCTTAAGGAGAAGCTCGATGAAGAGAATAGATTGAAAAAGAGCAGAGAATTACAGGATAAGACACAAGATAGAAACTTCAAAGAACTTTCAAGAAATCAAGATCGTGATCGAGATCGAGATCGAGATCGAGACCGTGATCGTGATCGTGATCGTGAACGACACAAAGAAAAGGATAAAGAGAGAGACCGAGAAAGAGATCGTGATAAAGACAGAGATAAAGAGAGAATAAGTAAAAGTTTCAGTTCCAAGTTCAGCAATAGTCATAGTAAAGATAAAGATCATCGAGATCGAGATCGAGATAGAAACAGAGAAAAGGAAAGAGAACTCAAACACAAATTGAAGCATTCGAATGATGTTAAATCTGAAAGCAAAAGTAAAAATTCAACGATAATTGAAAAGATTGAAGACGAAAATGTTTTCGGACCACATTGGCCATTCCAAGATCAAAAGTTATCAATGAAAACTTTAGTTTTTATTCCCAAGAAAGAGTGGCAATTGTGTTACAAGAAACATATTAAATTAATGATGAAGGGTAAAATTCCTACTCTCTCAAATTCAACAATGAAAAAACAAAAAGAATCGCAAGAATCAACCAATCCAGATTCCACATCAGATGCCAAAAAAGTTACAAATTCACTTTCTCTACAAATTGAACCGGAAGAGCCTGATAATGTAGATTCCAGTATCGGTGATCTGGTCCTTGCAATTACCAGTGATCGAGGGGGTGGAATGTCCGATTCTGATTTAGATAATCATGATAACCAGAGAAATGATTTCAATTCAATGTTCACAGTGGAATATGATGACGATGAAGAGAAATCATGTAAAATTAAATCATCTGATTTCGTTGTAACCCAAGACATTGATTTTACCAAAATGGCCTCTTCAATTGCCATGGAAGAAGGATCATCATCTTTAAATGGAAATCCACCTCTCTCTTGTGATACTGGTCATCGATTTGAATTAGAAGACGATGAACAAATGGAAGTTGAAAATGGTCATGATGTTTTCTTTTCCGATGCAAGGAAACCATCACCAGTACAAGAAATGGACGAAGATGAGCCATTTAAGTTGAACGATAAAAAATTAAACGGAGCTTCTACTTTGGATCCTGACTCTCTTACCTCTCCAACCGATGATCAAATGCTTTCACCTCCTATTTGGGTACAACCTTTATCTTTACACGATTTAGCTGAGTAATTAGTTGATCATTCTCTCCCGTTTATTACATTTTTAGGCCTTCGTGCCTTGCATTTTCTAATTGTGTGTAACATACACACCGATCAGTTTGTAAAATTAATCTCTATTCTCATCTTCAATCACCATGCAAAGAAAAGTCAACTCACTCATTTTCACCTGAAAAACAAAACCGATTTACAAAAATAACATTGTCATTGAACATAATCAATCTCTACAGTGGTTCCAAACGTTAAATACCTCAAACTCATCTAAATGGTCACTGTATCTTAATTGTCTCTCTATTTCCTCCATATTTCACTTATTCCTCCTTAATTTTGATCATAGATTATCTATAACGTTATCTAATTATCACAACAATAACATTAAGTAAATAAAATTATCATTTCATTTCACAATTTTACCCAAGATTTTGAAGTTACATTATTATTTTCATTGGTCACAAAAAAATATATCCAATTGATTTTCCTTTTTCTTTTAAGTTAATTTGTCTCGAGAACAATTTATCTCATGGTATTGGCTCTTAATGAAGGATAAAATTTCCTCTTCTCTTCCAATCGATGTAATTCTGATAATGATGCGGCCACAGCGAGACGAAGTTGATTGAATTTGGTTAAACTACAATCAAATCGTAATCGTTGATCTGAATCTGTGAGAATCTCAAAAATAATCAAAGGTTCCAATACTTTAGACAGAGAGCAACTTGAGATAACCACATCGATCCGCCATTTAATTGACCGACAAGAGGGTAATTTGGGTCCATAAGGCACAATACTTGTCATACTGTTGACAGATTCGATCTGGTTTTGTATTAATTGTCCAAAATCTTTCGAAAGTCTAATTTACATTGACAAAACGAAAACATGAAATCAACAGAATAAAAAATGACATCGACTTTACCTGAGCTCATCCGAGAGAATGTCAATTAAATTAGCTGAGCGATTTGAGGTTCGATATCTAAGGCAATGTCGCAATAAGATGATTAAGTTTTGAATCAACAATTTAGATTCGTGATCAGTAAGATTAAGTTCATTTATGATTGAAAGTTGATTCACTTCCAAAGGTAATCCTTTTGAAAGGTAATCAAGAACAGCTGATGAGAAAACAAAACAAAAGAAAAATGAGAAAATCAAAGGAATCAAGTTAATTGGAATCTCTAACCATTCAAAGGAAATGATTCATATTCATGGGATTATGATGGTGAGAGAGACAATTTGATACGAACAATCAATTACAATTAGTTGGAGGGTGTGTTGATATTAAGAGAAAAAGAAAAACAGAATTAGATTTGATTACCTTTAGTCAATTGATGGAACGATTGTTGAGATAATTTCTGAGCTGATTTAAGGGAATTTCGAACACTTTTGATTGTTTCTCGGTTCCGAATTAAAGGTGTACTGATTTGGGACATTTTAAGAAAATAAAACTTAATTGTTGAGTAATTAGAGAGAAATCAATCAATTTGTTTGAGACAAACAATGTAAACAATTTCACTTTATTTACTATTGAATTTCAATAGTATTGAATGAGCGATACTCATGCGCTCTTTTCATTTATATAAAATATTTCAATTCTCTTTGGGAAGAAAATGTTTTAGCTCAATTAAACAACAATTAAGGTGAGAATAAATTGTATCCAAATGTAGAAGAAAAAAGCGAATACATGTAATTTGTTTGATTTCGGGGAATTGGAGTGAATGTTTTTTAGTAAAATCTGATTTGTCTTGTCGATTTAATTTCATTCGGGATTGAGTTCGATTTCCAGTCTTGATCTTGGCGTTGATGGGGTGGATAAGGTTGTTGTTGAATTTGATGATATTGTCGGTGATAAAGTTGTCTTGGTTGTGGTTGGAGGCGAAGGTGGTAAAGTTGAAGACTGTCTAAATGGTTCCGGTGCCGATAAATTAATTATCTCGTATTCCATTGATTTAAACATTGTTCAATTTTTGATTGTTACTTTGGGATGAGATGAATTTTGAATAGCAGCAGAAAAAATCAATTCCATGGATAGAAAAATAAATACCAAACAATTAACTAGATACATGATGATTAAAAAAACGATGTACACAAAATTCACATTTGTACTGGAAAAAAATTCACCATTGAACTTATCCTTTTATATGAATGTCATGATAGTTTTTTTCTCGATCTCAAAGTGATTCATTTAATCCTTAATCGGCTCAACTGCTTTTTTCTATCATTTAATTGTGATAGTTCACCCTCAAAGTTTTCTCTTCCGGAAAAGTTGAATCCTTTAACTTTGAAACTTTTCCACAGTATCGAGTGAAATACAACGACATGGACATCCACTGACTGGACATTCTGATTGCTCCATAAACCAGTCCATCATGTGTTTAGCGTGACCTCCGTGTCGACAAGTTTGACACCAAGAGAACCAACTGTTGTGTGGTTTTATTTTTTTCTTTCCCGTTTCATTGGACGAACTGGAGTAATCAGTTCGAGATGAGAATCGAGTCGGTGTTCCATATTGAGTTAAACAGATACAACAACGAGGTAGAGGTTTACGACAATTGGGACAACTCTGGATTCGAGCTTTCAAAACAGAAGCGTTGACCTTACTTAGTGCGTGCAAATGGTCAACACTGTTTTTCAATTGATTACCTGATCCACTGATACTATTGAGAGGTAAACTGTGGATGGTGGAAACACTTTTACCACAGTAATTACAGTTGACAAACATTTGAGGTCCAGGAACTTGATCGTAGTTTAGTCTTTTAAACCATTCGTTATCGAAAAGAGCTCGTTTATGCCATAATCTCCAACAATCGAGTATATTTCGATAATTTTCTACCCACAGTTGTACTCGAGGATCTTTATAATGATGACTAGGAAGTGAGTGAAGTATCACAAAGGAAACAGTTTGTACATCACTTGTTGCTTCAACGTAACGATTAAGTAAATCTAATCCTTCGTTGGTAATACCGGTCATCAAGAGTCCATCGATGTGACCATTTTCAACCAACATGGCGGAATAGGTATCGAGATGATATTGTAATTGAGAATCGGGTAAAAAGGTGACTGCAAAAGCGACTCTATCAGAGAGTTCAAGGGAATGGTCGTAAAGGATTTCCTCATAGGTTTCAGTTTCGGAGGTAAGGAACGAGAAAATGGCCTTTAAATAGGGTAAGTTGAGTTCACAGCGAAAAGCGGAACACATTTCTCTCCATAAAGAATTTTTTTCTCCTGTGTAACCCGAAAGAGCCATGGCAACAGTGGATAAATTTGGATCACCTCCATTCTCAACCTGAGCCGCTGAACCTGCGATTAAACATTCAATTGCTTTTCTCATTTTCAGATTAAACACTGAAATTGCAGCAGCTCGAGTAAATTGTGATTTAGCTTTAAGATTTTCAATTAAAGAATCCAATTTGTCGCCCCAACCACAAAGGTTCAATGAGTGACTACGCTCATCACTTTTGTAAACGGGAATCTTGGCGTTAGAAGGCAAATCAGCCCATTGAGCGTAGTTGAGATCGCTTTTTTTTAAAATGGTACTTGAATTGTCACTAATGATTGATCCAAAAAGCAATTGACGGACACCAATTAGCTTGTCATTCTTGTCGATTGATGGAATCTTAGTAGACATTTCCTTAGCCGATTCAATCCAAGTCCAAAGTGATCGCAGCTTTGGATCATCAGGAACATATGACTCGTTAAGACCATAATCTTGAGAAGCTCTTTCTCTCATTTTGACGGCAACATCTTCAATCGCTTTATAAAAATCATCTCGATAATCAATACATTGTAACAATTCTCGACCATTTGTCCAAATAATCTCAGAAGCGGGCGACCAATTGAGTGTCACTCGACCAAAACCTTTAGCATCAGAAGAAGAAGTAGTTGAATCCATAGTATCCAAAAAATTCAACTTGAAAACTGAATCAACAAACAATTAACTAGAAAAAAATACAATTAAAATGATAAGAGAAACAACAAGTTAAACTGATTCAGTTTATCAATTTCTTTAAGAGCAAAAGAAAACACAAAATCAAAACAAACATTAACCTTCAATCTTTTCCACCAGATGGAAGTAAATGTGCAAAAGAACAGAAGCCAAAAAGTTTGACCCGGACGTGATTTGAACACGCAACCTTCTGATCTGGAGTCAGACGCGCTACCGTTGCGCCACCGAGTCCGATGAAAATTATATTACAATTATTGATCAAATTTTTGTAAAAGCCAAAAGCTTTTCACACATTAATGTTACATGTTTTCTTTGACAGTTTTACTGTCAATTTTGTACTTTTAAAAATGAGGTGAAATTAAAGATGATAACGGAAAGACAATAAATCTAATGATGCTCTGTTGCTTGTTGTGTAAGTGCTCTGTTGACCATTTGAACAAATACCACCTGGGGCTAATTTTCGAGAAGTCGAGAAAAAGAAATGCGAGAATATCATTTAATGGCTTGAACCTAAGAGAAGTTTTCAACAAACAAGTGATGATAGCTAACTTTTAAAGAAACTACTAAACTGTAATTGAAATGAGCCAACGGCAACAAAAAGATGAACAGATTAAGATTCGTAAAAGCTTCAAGTTAAAGTTGTTTAGTTAAAGTTAAACACTTAAGACCAGCTAGTCTTACTCATTCGCACAAAAACTAGCAACAAAATCTCGGAGACAAATGGAAGAGTAAAATTTGGCTTGAGAGAGACACTAATTGAAGATATTTTCGTAATCAACTCTTGCAACAAATGTCATGCATTAGATGGACAATGAGAAGAGAAATGTGAGAATCAGAAAAGTCAAAGACCAATTGTATTGAGACAATGTTCAACGATTCAGTCCAAAATGGAAACAACGATGTCACTTGCTCATACTGATTAAAACGTTTTGCTTTAAGAGGGAAATAATTGAAATTAATACATTGAGCCAAATAAAGATTATTTGGTTGCAAAGTGATCACCGCTCTTACAAAATACAGTAATCTGTGCATCACTTTACTTAAAGATAAAGATGCAACATTGGTAATTGGAGAAACAGCAAAGGATACGAGTGCTCTTATCGGCCTTCTGAAAAAGTACCACCTATCTACTACTTATCTGGTAAAGGTTCAGTTACATTGAGCCTTTTTAAAACCTCATCAACTGTTTTACAAGCAGCAAGAGTATGGATTACGTGGTAACTTAATTTCCGGGTAGAGAGAAGAGAGAACAATTAAACCAAATGACCAAATATCGGACCGTTTACATGGTTTACTCTTTAAATTGATTGCTCGTTCTGGAGGAACATAACTAAGATTCCTTGGTAATAAAGCAGAACAATCAAGATATCGACCGGATTCAGTGATTACATTTAAAGGCCAGTGAATCCATTTATAGTTGATACCATTGAAGACAATAGCCTCGGGTGTTATATTACCATGGACAATATTCAAATGTGA